TCACTCCACCTGAGTTTCTGAGACCAGGTCACTCACTAAGCCTGGAGCTCACCATTTAGGCTAGACTGACTATCCAATGAGCTCCCAAAATCCACCTGTCTCCGGCCTCCCAGCCTCTTGGGTTACAAGCATGTGCTTCTTGCCCAGCTTTTATGTGGGAGCTGGGGCTACAAACCCAGGTAGTTCCTCATGGCTGTGCAGTAAGCACCCCAACTTCAGGAAGCTGTTCGTTTTTTTAGTTCTGTTCTATTTTATGAGAAAAATGGAGAAAAAAAAAAAAACCACTTGCTAAGGAAGTTCAGGAAAGAGACGTAGAATGGACAGAAAATGTCAAATCCTCATTCTTGTCAGAACAGTGACCTTAGCAGGGAATGAGGCCTCTACGTAGTCCTTCTGCCTCTGCAGGATTGTGTTCATGTGAATAAGATCTCTAGTTCCCACGGATGCTCTCGCTGCGGGATAAACACACACATGTGGAATCTGACAGCACTGCCGTGCTGAGAGTAATCACTGTCAGATGCCTAACTAGGAACTCACAGAAATACCGTGGCCGCTGTGGAGCTTCACATGCCCGTCTTTCCCTGAGAAGACAAAGCAGAAATAGGGATGGAAAGGGATTAGGTAGGATAACCTGTTAGCATGAGCGCCCAGGCATCGCTTCCACCGACGCATGCTTCCTTATAAACTACTCTGAAGCAGCGTATGTTATTGTGTGAGGCTTGTCAGTAGCTTGAGGAGGAGCCACCACCCAGAACAGACAGTGGGCAGGACCTCAAGGCTTGCTTTCCCCTTGTAGAATGAGGCTCCCACCTGCCTCTCTCTGTTGCAGGGAGAGGGGTGTTCACATCTCTGCCACAGAAGTGCAGAGCAGGGCTGCTTCTCAGCACATTTCCTCTTGGGTTTTAGGTATTTGGCCTCATCAAGGGAACAAGAGTGGGCCTGCTCATCGATACGTCCCAGGTCAGCAACCCTCTGAAAGACGAATTCCAGAATGACCTCATAGTAAGTGTGTAGTACCCCCCCCTCCCCCTTTCTCCACCCTCCCCTGCCTGCAGTACAAATTCTCTTTGTTTATAGCAAATGCAAAACAGGGCCATTCACAAAGAACAGTTCTCACTCAATTAGCACCTTGAGGGGAAGAAATGTGTGGAAATCTGTAAAACCTCACTGCAGACTCATTTTCACCTGCAGTGTGAACTTCTAATATTCTTCCCACAGCAGAACCTCCCAGCTAGACACCCCCACCCCTGCAAAAGCCCACATTCCCTTAGGACAGGATACAGACTGGCATCTGTGGGGCCAACTACACCCTAGTACAGCAGAGCACCAGGTTCCTGGCCTTTTCCAGATGTTAAAGCTACTCTGGTTTCTTTGGCATTTACAAAGCAGAAGAGTGGAGTCAAATCCCAGCTACCTCCACCCTTCGCAGGCAATGGGTCCCTGGCACCTCCTCTGCAAAGCAAGGAGGCCAATATGGCAACCCAACACAGCTGTCAAGATGGGAAGAGTTTATGCACAGCTCCTGAGAGCTACATCTGGCACAGACAGACATGTGAGGTGATGTGGAAGGGTGCTTCTCCAAGGAAACGCTTATAGGATGAGATAGGGACCAGCTTGAGAGGCTCCATCAGGGACAGAGTCCTCATTTATCACTTGTCCCTGTTTAGCACAGCTCAACTCCCCCACCCACGAGGGCCGCCCATACCAGAGGGTGTGGCCAGGTTCCACAGAGCCCTGGCTCTCTGAGCCGCTCCTGTTCTTTTATCCACAGAGTCTCATTGATGAGCAGCTGAGCCTCAAGGAAAAGCTGTATGTCCTGTCTTTTGGCGTCACCCCTCAAGCCCTGTGGCCTGAGCCTGTGGAAGTCAACCCCTCCAAGTGAGTGGCTGCCAAGTTTCCACCAGGATATTCACTTGTTCCAGGTCAATGGAATCTTTGCGTGTGTGTGTGTGTGTGTGTGTGTTTGAATTAGGGTCTGACGTAGCTAGGCTGGCCTCAAGCTTGCTACGCCACTGAGGACAGCTGTCAACTTCTGGTCTTCCTGCTTCTACCTCCTGAGTGCTGGGGTCATGGGTGTGCACCTGGTGGATGAGATGCCATGGATGGAAACCATGGCTTCGTACATGCTAGGCAAATACTGCCCGTTGATCTCTGTCTCTAACACCTCATTGAATGTTTAAGACACAAACCCCCAAATTACAACAGATAGGGGAGCACACAGCAAGGAGTCACAACAGCAGAAACTTAGTCAGGCAACGGATGGAAAGATGGTCACCTCCACAAGTTCTTACAGAATGAAGGATAAGACTACCACAAGACAGCTTGCTTACTTTTTACTTTTGTTTTTATTTTTATTTTTTTATTATTTTCTATTTTCAGTTTTGATGATCTGGAGATGAAACGAGGACCTTGACATGCTGGCCGAGTGCTTTACCCCTGAGCTGTATCCCCAGCCCCAAACACCATTTGTGTGCAGCAAACTAGACGTGATAGCTTTATTACTGTAGAAATAACACGTGCGTGTTTAAAATAACCCAAACAATCCGAATGGATTAAATAACAGTGACTGAATCTCCTCTATAATGCCACACACACTCTTCCCGCCCTATAAGAACATTTTATAGCTGTCTCCACAGATGTGCCACACACACATACACCCGTGTTCCATCCGGTTTAGGCAGAAGCAAGTAGGCTGGCCTGGTGGTGTATGCCCGTATCTCTAGTTAATCAAGATGCTAAGGCAGAAGCGTCGTAAACTCTAGCCTGAGCTAGAGTTTCCAGCTTGGGCAACTTAGTTAGACCCCTCTCTCAAAATAGAAACTGAGAGTAAGAGGAGGGCAAAGGGCATGTGGTACTGTTTTAGAGCATTGGCCTAGGCCCTGCTCCTAGGACCACGACAAGTAAGCAGCATCGGCATATGCTCACAACCCTGGTCTGTGCTATGGCTTTTCGCCCAGTTTTTACTGTTATTTCCTATCACTGCATCTAGACTTACCTCCCTGGTAGTGGCTACATACTGTTCTATTGTTTAGATGCCCTGTAGTTAGACAAGCTAGTGCGGGATTGGGGGGATTTTGGAAGGAGGCACATAAGAATGTGTGTTTTTGCCAGAAATTAGAAATTTGTTCGCCACGATGACAGTGTCTTTGACTGACCCTATGGCACCGGGTATACTATGGTAGGTACTTTACAAGTAGGAGCATATTTAAAATGCACAGCATCTCAATAGAATTATAACGTCCATTTTGTAGATGAGGAAATATGGGCACGGGGAACATGCCCAGCTGGAATTGCAAAGCTCAGAGCAGAGCCGGGGGAGGGGAGGGAACTAAACTTAGGGTAGAGGCACTTGCCACCAAGCACGATGACCTGAGTTCAATTCCCCAGGGCCCACGTGATTGGAAGGAAAGAACTGACTCCTGACCTCCACATGCATAGCATGCTCAATCTATTGTTTCCCCAAATAAATTTACACACAATAAAAACAATCAAAAGCCTAAACTTCAGTTCCCTTTTATCCAGCACAGCTGTGGAGAGGAAGTCCAGCCTGGCCTAGGCCACAGCTCTGCTACTCTCTCTCTCCTGCAGAATAAAGCAGGGATACCCGCTGTTCACAGAGCTGTTGTCTAGGCGAAGGAAGTCACCCTGAGACTTCAGAGTAGCTCCTCAGCTTCAGTCATCGCTGGGTCTCCCTTATGTCCTGTGTCTTTTCTCTGCCATGCCGCATGTGCCATTAATTTTTTTTTTATCACATCGACTCTATATTATTGAAAGAAAGTTCCTGTAAATAACATAACTGAGAAGTCTGTATTACTTGCCATAATTAGGAAGTGGCAGTGAAAATATGCAGCAAAAGTAGGACAGTCATATGAAATCCCACCTCGAAAACATTTGCGGGGTCTGTAAAAGGTTCTAGGTTCCAGCCCCACCTCTGTAGGAGCAAGCAGGAACGTGACAGCAACAATAACGAAAGCACTAAACTAGGGTTTCATTGTAGTGCTGGAGTTGAACCCAGAGCTTTACAGATACAAGGCAAGCCCTCACCAGGGATGATCCTTCTGTCAGGCTGAAGTGGAAAGAGCAGAAGTGTTACATCTGAGTCCAGCCAGGTCCATTCTTACCAGTGAGTGGTTTCCAAGCCAGCCACATGGGACATAGTTACGTAGGCGTGTGCCTTCTTGCTCTTAGAGCCTTCATAGAGTTCAGAGATCATTTTCATTCTTCATGCCAACATCAGCTCCCAGAAGAGCTATGAGGAAGAGACTCAGCTCCCAGTGCTCGAGAGTTCTGAATAGAGACATGCCATGTAAGGACATTTTGGTAAACAACAGATCTGATGTGGCCCCATAAAATTATAATGGAGCTGGATATGGCGGTGCTGGCTTTTATTCCCAACATTTGAGAGGTGGAAACAGGCAGATCTCTGTGAGGTTGAGGCCAGCTTGGTCTACATAGAGAGTTCTAGGCCAACCAGGTATGGATGGATGAATGGATGATGGATTGATAGGTGAAAAGATAGATGATAAATTGGATAGATGTCTAAAATAAAAATAGGGATCAAAGATAACAGAGCTGAACATTTCCTATCTTGCCAGAGCTGCTGTGCTTCCAGCAAGCCATATAGAAGCCAAGCAATACAACTCTGGTTCAGTGTGTAATGCCTGATAATGACAGTAAATAGCTGTCTTTTTGGTTGGTATATCTACAATACCATGCTTATTTCCCCTCTCATCCTGAGGATGATACCCAGGGCGTCAGCATGCTAGGCTAAAGCTCTCCTTAACTACATCCCCAGCCCTCCTCCTGTGCTTTTGATTAATGTTCTAGAGAACACCCTTTCTATTTATAACAAATGTTTGCTGTAAAACAGGACATGAGGTCATGCCAGTGTCTGCCTGGTCTTGTACTCACCTCATCTCCTTCACTGCTTTATTTTCCCTTGTGCTTGCTTCACTGTCCTTTCATTCCATGCATCCCCACACGAGAAGCAATAGGCTGTCTGTCCCACATATGCATACCATATATGCATACAGCCCAGGTATGTGGTAGGCTATACCATCTTGCTTTGTATAAGAACAGTCAGTAATGTCACACAATGGCAAAAGCACACACAGACAGTTCTTAGAACAAGTCCTAGTCTGCGGTTTGAGCATTCTGTCCAAGCATGGAGCCTCAGAGGCTATTGCCAAGTCCGAGTGAACCTGGAGACCCGGGTCATCAAGTTGCATGTGACTGGAGTTAGGTTGCTGTTTTTCCTTCCAGCCTCCAGAAACTCAGGCTCTGGGTAAAGAAACTGCAGCCCAGGGGAAGCAGCAACCTGCTGCAAGCCTTGAAGAAAGTCTTTGCTCACAAGGAACTGAATTCTCTGGTGGCCATATTGAGGAGCTGGTAGGTCTCCTTTCTTACTAGGAAGGTAATAGATTACATGAAGGAGCGTGATGACCCAAGCGGCGTCCAAGAAAAAAAAAATCACCAGGCGTGACATTCCACACCTGACATTTGAGAGAATAACTGTGTTCCTGGGCCACCCCCACACACTTGGGCAGGGCGGCCAGGGCCACCCAGCCCTGCATCTTACCCAGGTGACCTGCGACACAGGTGATCAGTTAAAACTGAGTAAAGGGGATGGGAAGGTAGCTCAGCAAAGTGCTTTCAAGCATGATGACCTAAGTTCAGATCCCCAGAACCCATTACACGTCTGTAATCTTAGCGCTGGGGAGGCAGAGACAAGTATGACTGGTGCTTACTGGCCAGCAAGACAGCCTAACCAGGCTTAGTGAGAGACCCTACCTCAGAAAATAGAGAGTGGTAAGACATAAGACATGGGCTACTGGCCTCCACATGCACACACACATGAATGCACGACCACATACACAAACACATGCATACACTCAGGTGAGGCGTTCCCGGGAAATTACTGGGATGTTTCACTGGGAATAGCCACGCCTCCTCTTCGTCTGCTCCCCAGTCCAGATCAGCCTTCTGAATTCCTATCTGACTACATCCAGCAGTCCATCCTGGGACGGGACCTCTTCATTCATGTCACCACCTACAACTGTGATAATCACGTGCCCTCTGTGAGTATCTGAACTTGGGCCCCAAAGCTATGGACTGGAGCATGCCTCTCTTGAACCCGCTTCTCCCTTTGGTAAACAGGAAGGGGCAGGAGGGTCTGAAAGTTCAGCGGAGGAGAGGTTCGTCAGGATATCAGTGTGGCCTTGCCGGGCACGGCTGACTCTGTCACTGTCCCCCTCCCCCCCCAGGCTGTTCTGAAGAACCTCACAAATGCGCTTGGGGGTTATTACCACGGCTACTGCCCGGAAACAGAGGTAAGCCTTCCGAAGACGAGCTACGCATGTGCCCGCTTTCCCCGCTTCGTCATGCTTGCCCTCCACGCTCAGTGACTTCGCACAGGTCAAATCATAGGACATTAAAAATATGGAGAGAACAGGGACAAGCTGAAGTCATAAGCTCTGTGGAAAGCTTGTCTGATGGGCTGGTCCCACACTTGTGAATCTAGAAACATTTTGAAGTCAGTTGAGCAGACTCCTCCATCCCTTTTATGAATATGAAGACAGCCCCAGCTTGTTTCAACTCCCACCAGAGCCCCTAGACTGAAACAATGGCTCCAAATTTCTCCCCTAAATAAGCCCCATTCTTGGGAGAGACTCACAAAAGGGCAGAAGGGGTGCTCCAGTCCATGGAAGTCCATTCGTTCATGTCCTCACCCCTGTTAACAGCTAAGCACAGCCTACACTGTGTCGCAGAGGTGGTAAGAGTTAACACACAGCAGCTCCATCTGGCTGATGGAGGGTTCAGTCTGGTGGGGCATGGTGGTTCATACCTGTCACGTTGATGAACTTGTTGGGAATCAGGAAGATCTCAAGTTCTAGGCCAGCTACATAGCAAGACTCTGTCTCAAAACAAAACAAAAGGAATGTAACCATTAGTTAGCAGCCATCCAGGGCATCAAGTGATGGAGTGTTTGCCCCTCACAAGGTTGTCTCCCAGATCTTCCAACCTCCTTTAGGTAGTACAAAGTCTATCCTTTCATGTTGAGAAATCAAGGTCAGGAAACATCCCATTTTGCAACTTCACTGTCCGAGCTCTGCTGATGGATGTCACAGACTCTAAGGGCTAGAAAAAGGAGAAGAATGAAAACAGTTGATTGAAGAAAAAGTTTATCTTGTTGGGCATAGTGATGCATGCCTTTAATCCTAGCACTCCCTTAGAAGCAGAGGCTGGAAGGCCTCTGTGAGTTCATGGCCAGCCTGCTCTGAGGCAACCAGGGCTATATAGAGAGACCCTATCCTGAGATGGGGGGAGGAGATGGGGGGACAATGGAGGAGAGGAGAGGTCTGTATGGTATATGGACCTTGGTTTATTATTACCCCAGTTTTAAATAGTCAGCCACTCAACCTTGGGAATTGCCTTGGCTGCTTGCCTTTTCCTACCGTGGCAACTACTGACATCCTTGTGACTTCCAGAAAGCTCATTGCTTCCATCGCCCCCAGCTATATACCAGTAGGCATGTGGATGAGCTCCTGGCAGAAACACAGAAGGCTCAAAACCTCCTCAGTCAGGTGCAAGCCCTGAATCACAGCAGCCCTAGTGAAGAAATGGTCTGCAAGATCAAGGAAGTAGGTGACACTCCATTGTTGATGGCTGGGATTGCCTTTCTGTTGCTGACATACTATATGAATTAACCTCTTAGGGCCTTGGTTTTTTTTACTTTAAAACTGTATATAACAGGAAGGGAGGCCAGGCCAAGGCTCCCTCAGTGACTTGAGTTTCCAGAAGCCTTGTGGTCTAAGCCATGGCAGATGACTTGTCATCTTGAATCCTGGCTGTGTGGAGGGTGGAGGGGGAGTGTACAAATGGAAGAGGATAATGTTTTTGGAGACCTCTTCCTGTTCTCTGAAAATTCAGAAAATCCTCAGAGATGGGAGTGAGAATGATGGGAAGGGACAGCAGATTTGCCTTCAAACCACTTGCTAATGGTTTAAGACGATAAATGGGGAAGAACCTTCCAGTTCTAAAATGCAATTGTGTAACATGAGTTTTTAAATTGCACACAGATGTCTACAGAGATTGCCAAAGAGCCATTCACAAGTCTCTTGCCTAAACCCCCGAAGCATGACACCCCACTCAACATCAAGTTCCCAGACTTGGACAAGACTTCTGCAGAATGGCTGAAGGTTAATGGTCTGAAAGGTATTAAATCCCTAGAGAAGCCAGGGCCCAGGCAGCTGGCCAGGCTTGGGCCCTTTGCCTCAATGCTAACATTTTTATTTCTGTTTGTTTGGCTTGGTTTTATTTTTTTTTCAGCTAAGAAGTTAAACCTTTATCAGGTTCTGGCACCCAACACTTTCAGTCATGTGGAAGAATTTGTGCCTGTTCTCCAGAAAACTGTATCAGCTACTATCCACGAGGTAATTCAAAGACAAGCTCCTCTCCAGTCCTGTCCCATCCTGTCTTACATCGAGAGAGTGGAAGCCACAGGGCATAGCCAGCCAAGCATGGGTGGGAGGGCCTGGGTAACATTCAGGCTTTCCATCCAGGGCTCTAGAGTGCTTATAAAATCTAGTGTGATGAGGCTGGAGATGCAGCTCAAGATTGAATGTATTCAACACATACCAGGCCCTGGGCTCAGTCCCCAGCACCAAAGTATAAATGAGCAAGCAAAGAATTTACCATAACTGCTGTTTTTCAAAGATCTGAAAATGGAAAGATAGCTCGGTCTCTAGAAGGTTTGCTTTCCAAGCATGGAAGACCCGAGTTTGATCTTCAGCCCCATGTAAAAATGCCGGACATGGTAGTACTTGCGGACTTTTAAGCCCAGCACCGGGCGGTGGTGGGTAGAGACAGGAGGTTCCCTGGTGTCACTGGCAAAACCAATCTGTCCTACTTGGTGAGCTCCAAGTTCAGTTAGAGACTCAGAAGAGACCAGTGGGGTTCCTGAAGAAGGTACCAGAGGTTGTCTTTGATGTCATGGTCATTTCATCCATGAATGTTGTCTTCCACCCCACCCAAATAGGACAGACTTGTTTTCTTGTTGCCCTCAACTGCCTTGTACATACTTGTCCAGTGGCTGCTAAAACATATTTGCGCATATGGAGCCTTACAAAGTATGATCCTTTAGAACACTCTCTTCTCTGACTCCATGTCCTCAAGTCTACTACAAGTAAACAGTCAAGGAATATTCCCCTGAATGGCTGAGTGATGAGCAAATGAAGGGAAAATTAGAAATCAGAAAGAGAATGATGTGTATTTGGGTGAATGGAAATGTTGGTGACTATTCGTAGAAAAGTGTGTGGCTATCTAGATGAATAGATAAGGGCTGAATGATTAGATGGATGGGTGGATGGATAAATGGGTGGATGAACTGGAAAATAGAAATATTGAGTAAATGGAAATGTAGGTGAGTAGATGGATAAATAGATGGATGTATGGTTGAATGAACAGGTAAATGGGTAGATAGGTGGGTAAGTGGATGGATGGATGGATGGATGGATGGATGGATGGATGGATGGATGGATGGAAATATTGATGATGAATGAATAGGTGGATGGACAGATGAAAATTGGCCCAGGTAGAAGTATGAAAGGAGAAAATGTGAAGATAGATTAACATAAAAAATACAAGAGGATGAAAGAAAATTTCAAGAAAAGATGGAAAAATGGCGAAGTCGAAGAATGGTACAAGAGAGAGATGATTGGGAAGATGGGAGGCTGAAAGAGAAGAGAGAGATGTAGGAAGTAGACAGTAATGGTAATTCATAGAAGACTAACCTAAATGAAGCCACAGATAAAAGTGGCTTGATGGAGCATGACTATACAGGATAGCAAATAGGTAAGGTCTGTCCAGATTCTCAAATGTCAAGAAACCATAGACAGTGTGTGTGTGTGTGTGTGTGTTGTTTGTTTGTTTGTTTTTCTGTCTTACTGTGTAGCCTGGCTAGCTTGGAGCTTGCTTTGTCTGCCTGCCTCTGCCTCCTGAGTGCTAGGATTAAAGGCGTGTGGCACCACACCTAGATGCCAGTATGTTTTAACATCTCTGATTCTACTCTTTATTCTACAACCCTCCAACCATGCTTTACTGGCTTTGATGTTCAGAGGACAATCCCTGCCCCGCCCCCAAATATATCTGTCTTGCTGTCAGGCTTGGCTCATTCAGGGGACCCTTCTCCCGAAGACTTAACAAGGCCAACTGGTGGCCTGTGTGAATGGGTAGGGAAATCTGACTCCAGATGTGTCCAGGACCCATTTCTCTCGTGCATTTGAGCTGGAGAGCCCAGTGCCCAACGTAAATGTGCTATTTCCCATTCATGCGTCTGCTTACCTGTTCTCCATTCTACCAATGCCGGAGTGCAGAGAGCAATGGTGCAGTTTGAATGGCATGATGGAACAATGAAGAGTATTCATGTGGACCCACCCTCACTCTATGAGTACCAGGTGAGCAATGGGTCCAGTACATTAGAATTTGGGTTGCAGGAAGGTGATATGGCCTCTATAGACAACAAGCCATTGGTCAACTTCCCTGTGTGTTCCTCTTAAGGGCACCTCCCTAGGTAGGGACATGGATGCCCCAAATAAGAGTCTCTAATCTTTTGGGGTGATATCTGCCTTGTCCCACATTTGAAGGAAATACTTAGGCTCTTCTTTTCCTAGTCTGGTGACGGGCTAGCATCACAGACTTGCACCCGACTTAGCAAACTATTTCTACTACCTGTATGCACCATTTCCAGAAGCCATCTGGAGTGCTTCTCCTCCTCACAGCCCCGGGCTTTAATTGTCATCCTTGGCACATTCACTCACGGTGGCCCGTGCTTTTACAGAAGCAGATCGGGAAAGCTGTGCAGATGTACGAGAGTCGGCTCCAGTGGCTCTCCCTAGCCAGCAGAAGAATCTGGGGCACTGTCTGTGAAAGGAGGTACTGATCCTTCGAAGTGCACTCTTGCTCCTTGTGGGGTCCGGTGTGTGGCCCAAATGTTTATTCAACTCATCATTCCCTTGGGTGGCCTCAGAGCCACCGTCACTCAGGTCAAGTGACGCTGTCACTGCAGCTCAAGATTCTTTCATTTATAAGTAACAGGGAGATGGGCCTGGTGGTGCCCACCTGTGACCCCAGCTCCTAGAAGGTTGAGGCAAGAGGGTTAAGAATCTGAGGCAGCCCGGGTTAATATTGACACACACACACACACACACACAAAGAGGATAGCAGATGCTCAAAGTAAATAGAAGTCTGATGAAGGTAACTGAGAATTCTAGACTAGACTTGTTAGCTGTGTAGCTGGATCCAGAGGTTCCATGTCATCAAGAATACTTCAGCTCTTCTTTATCTCTATGTGGGTTCTGTTTTCAGATGGGGTTTCCCCTACAGGTGGGCAATATATCTATGGAACCACTTCCTACCAGCTTTGTATTTCCAGGGCTTGAGCATCTATGGACCATGAGGCTGGCTGGGAGGTATGATAGTCTGGATGCCCAGGATCAAATGCCCACTCCTGAAGCATGATGTGTGCCAGCTCCACAAAATTCACCTGAGCCAGGCAGTAGTGGCATACACCTCTAATCCTAGCACTCAAGAGGCAGAGGCAGGCAGATCTCTGATTTTGAGGCCAGTCTGGTCTACAGAGCCAGTTCCAGGACAGCCAAGGCTACACAGAAAAACCCTGTCTTGAAAAACAAACAAACAAAAACCCTCACATGAACTGATAGAGTATTGTTTCCCAGGGAGAAATGAGGATGCTGTTGCCAGAAGAAATGATGGATGATGAATGGGGGTGGAGATGTCCCAGTATACCTTATTTGATGATTTATAATTGACCATAAGGAATCTTTTTTGTAAATACTCTGTAGGGACACCTTGAAAGGAAGAGAGGTTTTGTGACTTGAAAATCAGCACATGCAGCCCTCAGCATTTAAATGGGCCCCCACTACAGAAGAAAGACAGAGTCCCACAACAGCCTGTTACAAACCTATAGCTGTTGGTACTCAGACCACAGAGATTCTTGGCCATCTATGAGTTTGGTGTGAAAAAAAAAAAAAACTGGAAAAATCTTTAAATAGTAAACTGGAATGGAACAGGCATTATCTGAGAGATTCGGGTTGCCTCTTGAAGCTTGTGTTTCTCTTTAGGGTGGCTGTGCTGCTGGACGTCTCAGTGACCAATTCCACGTACATTATTCATATCCAGCACTCCCTGCGACTGCTGCTGGAGGAGCAGCTGGCCAACAAAGACCACTTCAACCTCATCGCGTGAGTCCCCAGAGCTCCCCTTGGGGTGGCGGGGAGAGGCTTGTGTGGATGCCTCCATCGGGAAGAGGCTCCAGGCAGACAGCAGGACCACAAACAATGTGTCAGGAGGGTCAAGCGTCCTAAGGCGCCCATCAGTTTATCTGATTCTGGTGATCTTGTTTTGGGTCTTGAATAATTGAATGGCTGCAGGTCTATCCTATTTGGGGCAAAGGTGGTAAGTGGCCCCAAAAAACACATGACTTGATCAACCAGGGTAATGTAATTCAGCTCATTACCCCATTTGGCTTTCAAACTAGTAAACACAGCAGAGAAAGAGAGATCCTGCCATGCCCTGGTTTTAGTCTGAGCCTGGTTTTAGCAAGCACTGCAAACACTTAGTACTCCAATTCTAAATTACGTTTTAATTCTAATTATAAATAAATAGTAAACAACACTTGAAGCTATGTATAGCTTCAGCTATAGTTTTAAAACTATCATTTTAAAATTATAATATGTAGTTTCTAAAATATATATTCATTTTAAAAATTATACGTTATATGGGTAACTTTAAAATTTGTCAATTACAAATATGATTTTAAATTATATATACTCTCATGTATATACTTTAATCCCAGCACTTGGGAGGCAGAGGCAAGAGGATCTCTATGAGTTCAAGGCCAGCTAGTTTACATAGTGAGGTTCAGAATAGCCAGAACTACATAGAGGGACCCTGTCTCAAAAAACAAAACAAACAAAGAAACAAAAACCAACCAAAAATCGAAAACTAGAAAAATAAATTCGTATATGTAATTATGTATCCTATACATACGTTATTCAATTTAAAAATATGACTCTATATGTCAGGTGTACTAGCACAAACCCGAAACCCCAGCATTTGGGAGGCGAGGTATGGTAGTTCATGCCCATAATCACAGCATTTGAGAGCTACAATTTTGAGGCCAGCATGTGTTTCACAGTAAGTACCAGGCCAGCCATGAATGCATAGTAAGAACTTGTTTCAAAAAGAGAAAATACGTATTTTTAATTGCATACCATTTTAACTAGAGAAGACCTAAAAGGAGCCCACAGGGTATGTTTTCAATCTATTAAGTCAGCGATTAGTACTACATAATAGGCTAGGACCTAATCCTTCCTTAATAAACTCTAATGAAAAATACTTAGGGCAACATTTTCCTCTTATTAGTACATGCTAGTTACACAAAAATAATGGATTGTATTATGACATTGTCATGTATGTATGTAATGTACTTCTTTATACTCACCCATATTGTCTTCTCTTATCCCTCTTTCCTCCCTCTCTCACTTGCTCCCCTCCTTAGAGAAACAGTTTATACAATGTTTTCATCTGTTTATCTAACTGCCAGTTCAACAAGGTCTCACTAATAACCTGCTATGAGCCAGGCATGCCTGTAATCCCAGCACTCAGGGAGGCAGAGGCAGGGGGATTGCTGTGAGCTCAAGGCCAACCTAGTCTACAAAGCAAGACCAGGCTACACAAAGACAAAGGCTACACAAAGAAACCCTATCTGGAAAAAAAAAAAAAAAAGAATGTCCTCAAGGAACTTATGACCTAATAGAGGGAAGACATGTTAAGGGATAAGTGCTGTTAGGTGTTTCCTGATGAATTGGTAGAAGGTTCCATAGATCATGATGGACAGAAGGCAGGCTTAGCCCATTTTGGCTGGGCCCGGGAAGGTTAAGAAATCTTCTTGAAGGAAAGGCTTCTTTAGCTGGGTCTTCATGGATGGGAAAGGTTTGCCGCCTCATAAATATAGTGTGGAGTGGGGAAGGGAGGGTCACGGAAATGTGAGGCATGATGGAACTGTAGGGGAATATACAGACAAGAGGCTTTGCCAGATGGTGGAGAATTTATGCAGCTCCATGCTCAGGAGTTTCAGACAAGGTGCAAACATGATGAGGTTTCCCTCTTCAAATGCTGAGTCAGCAATGTGAAGGAGGTATGACGCCAGAGGGAAAGAGGTCTGTGGGCTTTCGCTGTAGTCCTGGTGTGGCACCCAGGCTGAAAGGGAATAGAGGAGGGGGAAGCAAGAGAGAGCACTGGAGAGCTGCAAGCCACAGAGTGAGTAGCAGTTTGGCTCTAGAGTATGTGAGAGGGGTGGGATCCAACGATCCAGGGGCAGAAGAGGGGGTTTTAGCCAGGCACAGTGACCAGCAATTCCAGCACTCAGGAGACAAAGACAGGAGCATCAGTTTGGAGGGATAGTTTCAAACATGGCAAAGTCTGGAGATCTCAAAAGATCAGAGACCTCAAAAGATGTCGGGCAGGGACTCCAGGAAGATGTCCTAGCGGAGAAGCGTTGGTTAGGGAGACACTGGTGCCCGGTTACATAGCTGAGACAGTGTTTGCCGCTTTAGGGAAGAGGAAAGACAGAGAGTACCGAGGGAACACCAGGATCTGGCAAGAGAAGAGAGTGAAACAAAACAAAACAAAACAGGAAGGGAAGCCAGAACATAGGAGGAAAACAGCAGAAAATGGTGCTGGGAAGACAAAGGAAGGGTGTGATAGAGCTCTTGCCTAGCATGCTCATCTCCCTGCCTACACTACAGGGAATATATATATATATCCAAAGGAACAGAAGGAGGCAGGTTATAAATTATATATATGGAATAGCTCCATTTCTATAAATATATTTTCCTGTGCATTTTTAATGAAAAACATAGAACAAAGAGTTAAAAGTTTAGGAAAGGCAATGAAACAAGACAATGTTTTGCTTCTTTGTATATTGTTGGATTTCTAACACCCAAGTACCGCAGAAGGTCTGTGAACTGACCCCTAGGGACATACCACCACGGTGGCAGGGGAAAGCAAGACAACCTTCCTGGGCAGAAGTATGAAAGCGACGGCCTGCAGTGGGAAGGGCAGCTGGGACAGTGGGGATACAAGCTTCTCCAGGAAGCCTGTCCATCATGTCAGAAGGAAAAGAGAGAAGTTTCTGGGAGATCCAGCAGCTTCCTGAAACTCTTAAGAGTGGAGGGCTCACAGCTGTGACGGGAAAGAGGGGCATGGAATGTGTCTACTAAGGAGTTTTATGGGATTCTCAGAAGAGACTGGCACAGAGGAGGCCAGTGTTCAGCAAGAGGTATCCGTCTTGACCCAAAGAAGGCTATCTTGTCATTCATAAAGGAATAAATTCTCCTCTTAGGAATCTTAGATTCTGTCTCGTAAAGAGATCGTGCGTACCTATAGAAAAGGACCATAATTCAGCCTGAGGGGGAGAGTGTGCTGTGAGAGGAGCCTGGGCTTCCAAGAGTCTCAGAGAAACAATGAGTTGCTCCCAGAGGGGACAAGGAAGTTCCTGCAGAAAAGAGAGACTACATTTCTTTAGCTTGAGACTCCATTGGGTTTGCTTCAATGTATGTATTATAGAAAACCAGAAATTCTTGTGACTGCCCCAGGCCAGCAACATTTCAACATTTTTGGTGTTTACTGTCAGAATTTTGTGTCCCTTAAGGCCTGTGAGTCCCAAAAAAGGGGATCACAAAGCGGACATGTGTCCTAAAAACAGGCCCCTCCTCTTCCTCAAAGGTTTGGAAGCAAGATTGAGAGCTGGATGCCCGAGATGGTTCCTGTGAGCCTTGACAGCTTACAAAGCGCCTGGAGGTAGGTGATGGAGGCAGAGCCTTTTTCTCTGTTGCTGTGTCTTACAGCTGCCCTGTGGCATTCTTTCCATACCCCTCACTGCCTGGATGTAGCCCTCTGCAGCCCTGCCCTGCTGCAGCCAAGGTCAGACATCAGAAAACAACTTTCTTCTCACTGTTCTTCGGACTTCAGGGCCTCATAGGCGGCTCCTCTCCTCTCCTCTTATGTCCCTGCCTCCCCAGGTGGGCCCTGGGCCTCCAGTGCCAAGGAAGCAGGAATGTCCTCGGCGCCCTGCGCAAGGCCATAGAAGTGGACTTCAAAGACAAAAACAAATATGAGTCTCAGGGCATCTACCTCTTCACAGGAGGTGTCCCTGACCAAGACGTGGTGAGTAACCGCCGTCCTAGACAGACATCTATTGTCTTTTCGCTTTTTGAGATCGGGTCTCACCCTGCAGTCCAGGCCCGGCCTGGAACTTGCTTATTTAAACCAGGCTGTCCTCGAACTTAGGAAGGTCCACCTGCTTCTGTCTCCCAAATGCTGTGATTAAAGGCGTGAGCCACCATGTCAGTTCCTGTCTTCTATTCTCTGCAGTGTTGAGTATGGACTGCAGGCCCTTGCTTTTGCTAGGCAAGCATTCTACCGCTGAAGCACACCCCCAACCCAGCATGGCTACCTACACTGCCTCTTCTCACACACAAGTGCCAAAGGATACTGTCACCACACAGCTCCTGGCTCAGCTGGTCTCAGGAGAAGCCTGAGAGTCTTCATTGCTGACAAGCTCCCAGAATGCCCATGCCACTTCTTACAGACCCACAGTAGGCATAGTAGGGCCACAGTAGGCCCAAATCCCTGATCCTACCCTATTAAAACATGGGAAGACATTGTGTCCCTGGCTCATGTCGCTCTGTCTCTGCACACAGCACTGAACCAAGTACACAGTGAATGGGATGTCACGGGGCTAGAGAGATGGCTCATCAGTTCAGAGCATCTACTGCTTTTGTAGAAGACCCAAGTTCAACTCCCAGCACCTATGTCAGGTGGCTCACAACTGTCTGCGGCTCCAGCTCCAGAGGGTCTAAAACCCTCTTCTGGCCTCTGTGGAAACCTGTACTCACATATGTATACCCCTTACGCCAACACACACACACACACACACACACACACACATACACACACAACCTGACACATACAATTGAAAAAGATTTTTAATTTTTAAGAGTTTTCTTTTTTAAGATTTATTTATTTTTATGTGCATTGGTCTTTTGCCTGCATGTACATCTATGAGGGTGTCAGATCCCCTGGAACTAGAGTTACAGACCATTGTGAGCTGCCATGTGGGTGCTGGGAATTGAACCTAAGTCCTCTGGAAGAGCAGCCAGTACTCTTAACCATTGAGCCATCTCTCCAACCAACCCCCCCCCCCCCGCCAAAAAAAATTGTTCTTTAAAAAGAGATAATTATCTGGGTGGTGATGGCGAACGCCTTTAATCCCAGCACTCAGGGGGCAGAGGCAGGAGAATCTCTTGAGTTCAAGGCCAGCCTGGCCTACAACGTGAGTCCTGGACAGCCAGAGCTATTACACAGAGAACCCTGTCTCAAAAAAACAAAAAAATAAAATAAAATAAAAAAGAGAAAAAAGAAAGGTGATCTGCTGATCTGTTGGCAGATTAGCAGCTGGGAGGCCTCAGGTATGGACTTCCTGTCTCCTCTTCCCCACAGCACGTAATCAGCGACTATGTGGCAGAGGCCTGTGCGGGTTGCCACCTCTATCTGAATGTCTGCCTCTTCTATGTGGGTGAGCCGCAGATGGACACCTTTGCCCCTGCCTGCTATGCCAGCCGTATTGACACTGCTGCCGCCTACAGAGAGATCACCCTGGCTGCCCACGGTCGCTTCCACTGGTTTGGAGAAACAGGTGCTTTCCTGTTTCCTGATGCTTGGCCTCTTTCTCTCCAGCAGTGTCTCAGCAGTAGCGCTGTTCCCTTCTCACACTGAAATGGTCCCAAGAAGCAACCTTTAAAAGCGATGGTTTAGACGGTGTGCATGTGACTTCCAGAGGCAGGGGCATGCCTGTGGTCCCTCCACCACTGTCACAGCATCGCTGGGGTGGGAGCTTTTCAGATCTTTCTTGTTAGGATCTCGCTTGGGTGTGGTCACTGACATCTCTGGCAAAGATCACTAATACTAGCGAACACAGAACACCTATGAGACACCTGACACAGCTGGGGCATTTTACATACACTGTAGCTTGATCCTCACTGTAACTGGGAAGTAGAGGACTATCTGCCCTGTTTAGCAGGTGAGTAACCTAGACATAGCCTGAAGGACAGAAGTAGAGCCCAGGCAGGACAGCACCAATGCCCAGTGTCCCACTCAAGAGTGACACTGGCATGTTCACTTCAGATAACAGCCACCATAGTGAAACTTTTGGTTTCTTAAAAAAAAAATATTATGGGGATATTTTCGTTTTAATCCCAGAGTAGAGATGTGGGCTGCTTCACAGCAGGTGATGATGATTTGCCTCATGCTCTAGCAGAGCTGTGATTTTTGCCAACCGCAAATAGTGAGTGTGTGATGTTTGAAATTCTGGGGACTTTTCAGATGGTACATAAATGCAATGGCAGAGAGAGGTGCGGTGGTAGTGGTGGTGGGTTGCTGGTTGGTTGTTGGCTACTGTTGTTTGCAGTTTGCTAAGTAGTCACGTTCAAAGAAGAGATAAGAAATTAGATATCCTGATGGCAAAGGAGCTCAAGGTCACTAATCGATAGAAGTAGTTTAATGATAATGTCACCTCCTTTCTTTTTCTATCCTTTTTTCTATCCTATCTAGTGTTAGGGGCTTGAAAGGGAAGAACAAAATGGGTGGAAAAGGGTGGAAGAAAGAAAAACCCACAAAGTAGTAAACTCTGGCTACAAGGAACTGTAAAGACCTACCACGTAGGTCTTCTCAGTCCACAGAGTAGCAAGAACCTTTGTGCTGAACTTGCCCTTCCCATGACTTCCAGGACACTGAGTCCTGTGGCCAGCTACCCTCTTGGTGACAACACACCACTGGACAATATAGGGTTGGGACTGGTCAGTTCAGGCCACTGTGGTCCCATCTTGCCTTTTTGGGCTTGTCACTTCCACACGGCCTTCATGCATAGAGATAGTGGCACTTGGCCAGATCCACATCCTTCCTCTATGCTCAAAATGTGCCTTGTTTCCAGGTATTTATGAGAGCGATGACAGCAAAGCCATCATATCTGAGCTAGAAAAAGCCCTCAGCTACTCCCAAAAGGTATGCCTTGGGCTCGGTTTTAGTACATGTACGTTCCTGTGTTTAACTGTCAGTGCTGCTGGAACAAAATGCCAGAGCTACACAGAGAAACCTTGTCTCAAAAAACCAATAATAATTTAAAAACTATTTTACCAAAGGAAATTTGAAAAGCACAGGTGAAATTAGAAAGATGGGAAGGGGCTGGAGAGATGGCTCAGAGATTAAGAGCAGTGGCTGTTCTTCCAAAGGTCCTGAGTTCAATTCCCAGCAACCACATGGTGTCTCACAACCATCTATCCTGAGATCTGGTGCACAGGCAGAACACTGTATACATAATAAATAAATCTTTAAAAAGAAAGAAAGAAAGATGGGAAGGGACCAGATCATACCCAGAGCAATGAGAACCAGAATAGGGGGACAGGCAGAAGAACATTGAGAGATGAATTACAGATTTACACCTGATGGAAATATACAACAAGGTGAGGGACAAGAAGCAACCTGAAGAAGTCCCCGAGGTCCTCTCTGAGGCAACTGGTAGACAATAGTTTCATTGTCCACCTGAAAGAGAATATAGGAACAGTCTGTGGTGGGTGCAGAGAGGAAGGTGAGCTTGCCTGTGACACGATGAATGAGGATGGCCTGAAGGCAGATGGGGAAAGATAAGGGGGAGAGATAGAGATTTGGAACAGTTCAAGCCTAGGATGGACAGGGAGTTCGTAGAAGCCAAGGGAAGGGTCTGTGAAGGTCTTACCCTGCCTCAAAATGTTAGGTCCTTCCATTTGTAGAATGACATCTCCCACATAAGACAGCAGAGCCATGGCACATGTGCTTTTCCTCCAAGACCAGTGGGTCGGTAGACTGGTGGCTCCCCAGACGTGCTCTCTTTCTGAAAAGACTCAGCTTGGGTCTGTGAATTTCCTACTTCTTAAATGCAAACCATCCCATTCTTGCCCCTAACAAACTTACAAGGTATTGGTGGACAATACCTAACCTTGTCTTCTTTTGCATATTTGCTTATGTTCAAAAAGTGTTCTTTGGTCCTTTGTGTGTGAAATAGTGGAATAGCTTTTGGGAAGTTGAGAAACTTTCCAGCTTCTTCAACTGTCTGTATTCGTCCTGGAATGTGGTCAGCTGCTCAAGGATTTTACATGCTAACTTTCCCAGGTCCTGTAGTTGAATTGAAACTCCTCCATTAATGAGTAGTGTGGCCTTGGCCAAGAACCTTTAGCTGACAGACCTTTGGTTTCCCCATCGGTAAAGGAGTGTCTTGGCTTTCTCATGATGTGACAAATACCTGAGATAAACCAAGTTAGGGAGGAAGGAATTATTTTAGCTCCCTATTTCAGAGATTTCAGCCCACATCTGGCTTCTTGACTATCGTCTGAGGTGAGGTTAAGCATCATGGTGGGAAAACAGGTGAGGCAGAGCACAGCAGCTGCATATAAAGTGGTTGCCATTCTCATGTCTTGTTGGCCTGAGGACTTGAGATCCCAAACATTAACTTGCCCAATGTCTACTACAATAAGAGGGTCCTTATTCTCCATAAGACTAATCCACAGAACTCTCAGCCCCAAACTGCATTCTCTGGGAAGAGGGAGGCATCGAGAGGATTCTGTCCTGCTGCACATGCGTGTCTGTCTTCCCACAGTGGCCAGAGTGCTCTAACCACCCAATTCTCACTGCAGTGTGCCTTCCTTGTGGCCTCCCTGAAGAACCATTCAAGAAAAGAACTGCAAAGCACAATCCTCCAGAAAGACAAGCCAAGGACGCTCAGGCAAAGTCAGCCCAAGAAACTCTGTCCTCCCAAGCCCACAGCACCCTCGGTGGCCAAAATGGTTTGAATCCCTTCCCTAATAACACCACAGATTTTTTTCCAGTTTGTCTCCTTGTCTTTCCTAGATCTCAAAAGGACTGGGCCAGGTCCTGGACGAGCATTAGTGGGGCCGGAGACTCAGGGAGGGATGTCCCACGGGGGGCACGGGGAAGAGGACCTGCCTCTTAGTTTGGAGCAGGCACCTATGGCTCCTGAACTCCCCTGCACATTTGGTTATGCCTATCTCAGCTTTGCACCCTAGCCTCTGTGGAACTACTCTCCTCTGCATGTAGCTTAACCTGAAGGGTTTGTAGGGGGAAGATAAGGTCTTATCAGGACCTTGCTGCTGCAGACCAAGCTTAGCAGGCGCATGATGGGACTCTCAGATTCAACCTATGTCTGCTGGGGATTATTTCTGTTCATGGCCACCAATTGTGTTCTGCATAAAATACTCACGCCTCACCTAAGTGGTCAGAGGGCCTTCTCGAGGGGAGGCCTTCCCAGGACAGTGCTGTGAGCAGAAGAGTCAGTGAAACCTTGGAGGCTGTTCAGCAGATGGATGGCTGAGCCACAGCAAACACAACACATTTCAGAATGGGGGCATCTATCCCAGGATACATAGCTTATCCGTGGGCCTGTATTTGCCATGCATTTCCAGGTTTCACTCAAAGAAGCCCAGCAGCCTGGGTTCTTTCTCACCCCTCTCAATATCCCTACTCTGGGAAGACCCCAGAATCTCAGGGCCTTCCTTTGGGTTCTTAAGTGGTTCATGAGCTGACTCAGTATGAAGAGGGCTAAGCTGAAGCATGACTTCTGTTGGGCCCTCCTGACAGGCTGGGCACTCCCAGGAGTGATGGCATCTAGGCCCTTTTTACCGTGGGTCACAATAAAAGGTTCCTTTGCTGGCCTGGTGCCTTGGGTGACTTTGTTAAACTATTACTACATTCTACTTGTGCCCAACAAGGAAAGAATTCCCTACTGAGGGACCCAAGAGGACATAGAAAAGCCAGGCATAAAGGTACACGCCTTTAATCCCAATTCTTGGAAGGCTATAGACAGGTGGATCTCCATGAGTTCAAGGCCAGATTGGTCAATATGGCAAGTTTCAGGCCACCAAAAGCTACATGTGAGACCCTGTCTTAAGACAACAACAAAATCAGAGCATAGACATTACCTAAATGGTTGTTTGTCATGCTGGAGGCCCAGAAATTCTAGTCTAGTAGGAAGAGAAGCAGGAAACTAGTAAAGAACATTCTAGCAAACACCCAATGGCTTCTCTAGTGCTCTTTCACAGAACATGCGTGAGTGCTCACATTCCTATGCTTTTTCACTCCCGAACCCAGAGTCCCCCAGTGAAATCTGCTGCAAAAGGTGAGCCAAGCATGTCTGCAGTGCCTGACTCCCTTAGACATCACCCCCCACCCCAACCATAAATGTCCTTGATTGGCAGGTTGAGGTCAGACTGACTGGGGAAACTGCCTACCCCAGGCAGCAGGCCTCTGATGAGAAAGACGGCCTGTTTTCTAGAATGTTAAAGATGACCTGGATGGAGAAACAAGCCCCCAACTGGAAGCCCTGAAGGGTCATCCCCTCGATGGTGAAGCAAGGGTCTCTCCAGGTAAGGCGTGGCAATGGATAGGCAGGGGTGGAAGGTCAGCTCAGAGGCCACTGAGACATGAATAGAAGTGACAATGTTGGCAACTCACGACTGGGTGCCAGCCCATCAGCCAAGATGCTTTTCCTAAAGCCTGTAGCCACCAGCCCTCTGAAGTCAGTTCCTTATCTGCTGATTTTACTGACAGAATTCAGGCCCAAAGTTTTCATCAAAAGAGGCCATAGCTATTTTTTTATGAAAGTACTCACTTCATAAACCTGAGACTATGTATCTTCATCTTGAAGAAAAAGATTTATAGCAATGTGGTTCAGGGCCGCAAGCCCAGGAGTCTTCATTCTGTTTCTTATGTCCATCTGTAACCTCAGGGACCAAGAGGAAATGGTGCAAGGTACCCTAAGCCCTGAACAGTAGGTCCAGGAAACATCAGCACCTGGGGATGGTAGCTCCAGCTGTTATGGGTCCTGACAAGGGCAAGGAACCTGAGGTGGGAGCTAAGAACCCGAGAGTCCCTGGTCCAGGGTAGATCTTAGCTGAGACTGAGGCAGCCAAGCAGCAGAGGTTTATGAATGGCAGCTACAGAGTCACCCGGCCAACAACTCAAATGTCTTCCAGCTGCGGGCCAACCTGAGAAAGAAGAGACGGTGAAACAGAGGAGGAATGCCAAGCCCAGGGGAAAAGTTACAGTGCCCTTTCTGTTCTACACAGGGTCTGGGAATAGTGTGGGTAAGCTAAAGCCAACATGTATCTGAAGACCTCTGGGCCCTGGGTGACCTAGTAAATGCCCCTACCCCTACCCCCAAACAACACAGTTCTCCCAGCCAGAGAAATGAACATGCAAATTCTTGCTACTGGCACAGAATGAGAAAACCCAGTTGTGCAGGTGAACTCCCTCAGCTGTCTTTAAGCATGCTGGTGCCTTCTGGGAGAGACGGTTTCCTGAGCCCTCAGCACAATTAGGAGAGGAATAAGGGTTTCCCTAAGCTTGCCAGTGGGTTGCTGTTGTGGAGGGAGACGCTCTCAGCTGTGGCAGCAGGGGACGCCAAGCAGCTGGTCATGGTGTATGCACAGTCGGGAAGCAGAGAAAAGGGAATGCTGGTGTTTCTCTCTGTCCCCTTTTATCCTGTCCAGAATCTCATCCTGGGCAATGGCGCCGCACACATTCAGAGCGGGGGCTTCCCTCCTCAACTAACCCTCTCTGGGAATTCCCTCAAAGATAACACGTAGAGGCCTGTCTTCTGAATCCAGTCAGTTTGACAGTGGAGACCCACAGTACCCATCCTAGCCAGATTCCTTTCTTGCTAAATGGAGAAAGGGAACCCTGAGCAACTCACCCCTAATCCTCACAATTTCCTTTCTACATTTTCAGCAAACTCTACCCAAATAATTTGCAATGAATTTGGCAGTTTCAGGGAAATTGACATGAGAAAGGGAGGAAGGAAAAAGAGACATATCCATGGTAATACCACTGTATTTCTCCTAGGTTCTGTGTACAAGAGGTACCCTCAAGAAAAGTCTGTTAGGAGGACTAACTGTTGTGTTCAGCTGCCCAGGAAGGACACTGTCTGCTCAAGTCGACAGGTATTAAGTTGTGCATGTCGGCGTGTACCCCTTAGTAAAGCCTTCTACCAACCATGGCTTCCAGGAGGGTGGGCATGCTTGGAAGAGAAGGCAAGCACGTTAAGAAGCCCTGCGTACTGTGGCACATGCAGTAATAGCAAAAAAGTTCAGGAGCTGAGTCTGCTACCTCCTAGCTGGGTGGCCTCGAGTAGTCACACAATCAATCTATCTCACGGTGTAAAATGAGAACAAGCCAGGCCTAGTGGTGCACACCTTTAATCCCAGCACAGGGGAGGCAGTGGCCAGGAGATCTCTGTAAACTCAAGGCCAGCCTGGTCTACACAGAAAGTACTGGGACTACACAGAGATACCCTGTCTGCCTCAAAAACAAAACAAAACATATATACATACATACATATATACATGCATACATAAAATGAAGACAAGTCACTTGTTTGGGCCTGACTGTGCCCTGAGTTGCTTTTTGTATTCGACAGTGGATAGCCACTTGTGGACTGAAGAGACTGAAGCTGGAACTCTCCACATGCCTGGGTCCCCACTGCAAACATCAAAAGTCAGCCCAGGGGTCAGCCTCCCCCAAACAATGCAGTCTCCTCCCCAGTATAGAGATCAATGTAAGTCACAGCGTGGTGCTCCTCAGCCCCCACTTTCTTACCTTTTGTCAGTTGCTGGTGGCGGAGAGAACATCAGGGGACCCTGGCATCTACTGCTTGTGTGGCCTCACTCCCTAAAGTAGTACTTCCCTCCGTTGATGGAAGGATTAGGGGGTGTGACCTTGTTGGAGAAGGTGTGTCAATGGGGTGGACTTTAAGGCTTCAAAAGCCCACGGCATTCTCCGTTAGCTCTCTCTGCCTCGTGCCTTTAGATCCAGATGTAAACTCTCAGCTACTGCTCTTGCACCACGCCTGTCTGCCTGCTGCCATGATTCTTCCCACCACGATGGTCATGGACTCTAACCCACTGAAACCATCAGCCCCAAAGAGACTCTTTTCTCTTTCAGTTGCCTTGGTCACGGTTTCTCATCACAGTAATAGAAAGAGATGTGACAGGTTGACCAGGTGCTTTGGGGTGGCTATTTCAGCCACTGCCTGAGTGTTCACACATCTAGGTCTTTAGGTCTTACATCTACTCCACAGCGTGGTCTCTGAGCCAAGACTCAAACATGAGAGCCTTGGGGGAGGCCATTTTTATGCAAATCACTGCACTACCCCAACACTGACCATGGCTTTGTTAGAATGGCAGGAGGGAACAGGCTTCTTTTCTCCTTTCTGTTCAAGTGTTTTTCTCATTGTATTGAGGTTGCTTGTAAGCATATTCCGTACCAGAAAAAAATTGGCCTCCTAGCTGGGTGTGGCAGTGCATGTCTGTAATCCCAGTACTCAGGAAGACAGAGGCAGGAGGATCTCTGTGAGTTTGAGGCCAGCCTGGTCTACATAGCGAGTCCAGGACAGCCAAGGCTACCCAGAGAAACCTGTCTCAAAAAAAAACAACAACAAAAAACACAACAACAACAAAAAACCAAGCTGGCCTCTTTTCCTCTTCACCCTTTGAAATATATGAACCTTGTAGCCCTTCACTAAGGATTTTCTACTTTAAAACTTGGAGATGATGTGGTTTTTCTGTTCCAGTGACTTCATTTATCATGGCACCATTATCCTATTTTTCCTCGCCTTCACAGAACCATTAAATCTAGTAGTAAGTTAAAAGAAAAATAACTTTTCAATAAACAAAACTGGTCCAGTCATGGTGGTTTCTGCCTGTAATGCCAGGACTCAGGAGACAGAAGAAGAAGATAATGAATTCAAGGCCAACATGGGCCACACCTAGTGAGACCCTGTTTCAAAGTCAAGCATGCAAACAAACAAAATATGTACAGAAAAGAATATGGTGAGGGTTGATAATTACAGTGGCATGGACTGGTTAGGGGTGCTGAGATTGTGAAGCAACACTGACGGGCGCTAGCCTCTGCTTGCCTTCCCCAGGGAGAAGTGAGACACATCCGGCGGACGCTGTGGGAAATGGAGAGGTACATCGCATCCATGGAGAAGGTGCTGAGGTGCTATGTGCAAAGGCTGCAGTGGCTGCTGTCTGGTGAGTGCAGCTACCACCCAGAAAGTAGGAAGGGGCCAGAGAGGAAGTGGGGAGGCTGATCAGAGACTCAGGGTCAGTCCTTCAAGACCCAGCACCTCAAGAACTGTCAGGCCAGTGGATTTAGCCAACTGGTTCTCCTTGTACTGAGCGAGCTCTGGGTCCAGAGAACAGGCAAGGTGCCAGGTGATGGAAACATGACACGGAACCAGAGAGAGCTTCTGCAATTACAGGTGTGGTGGTACTTACCTGTAGCCCCAGCACTTGTAAAGGTAGAGGCCAGAAGACCAAGAGTACAGGGTAAGTCTTGGTTGAGCATCAAGACCCAGAGGCCAGGCTGACATCTTAAAGTAGACAGGAAATGAAATCGATGGGGAGCAGTTTAGCTTTGGGATTTGGAGAGTTTCAGGCACCAGGAAGAGAGAGCCTTATGGTTCCTCCAGGTAGCCTGTGCTGCCAAGAAGACCCCTGTATAATTTCACGAAGTCAAGTCTTCCTCAGGAAAGCCTGCTATAGTCTGTACCCATAGCCATAGCATGTAGACATGACTGCTGCTTTCCAAAGCCTCTCTTCCTAACCTCCAGAGGTGATTGACAGGTCATGGGCTAGGGCAGGGCAAAGGGGAAGTAGAGGAGATATGCCTTTCCCTGTTCTCAGCTCATACCAGCCACTTGGAAGAGCTGATAACTGAGTGCCTTTGTTTGCAGCAAGGCTCTCACGTCTCACTCACACACAGGTCTACCCCCAAGCACCTGCACTTCAAAGTCGCCTGAGAGACAGGGATAGAGCTTAGCGGTAGCATGCTTGCCTCGCATGGAGAGAGCCACACATTCAGTCCCCAGGACTCACACACAAACTCACCTGGGGAATTCTTCATCTGTTCACTCAGTCACTCACTCACTCATTCAATGAAGAAAGGTTGAGCTCCTGCCAGGTGTGTAGAAGAAAACAAATCCCATCAGGGTCCCTGAGCTCATGGATCAGGAGCGGTGTGATACTGTGAGGGACAGTTGGCTTGGGTGGGAAAGTGTCCCTGCAGTGATGTTTAAAGATTGTATAGACGGTAACTAGACAAAGAAGAAAGACAGGCTGGGACAGAGGCCTTGAGTGGAAGGGGTGACTCTGATTTCAAAGACTGAAATGGAGACAGTTTGGTAAGCAGGAGCCAAGCAGAGAACATTCAAGAGAGACAGAGACGGAGAATGCAGCCAGGGTACTTGTGTTACCAAGAGCAACAGGAAGCCATTGACAGATTTTCCATAAGATAAGTCGGGTTTCTCAATAATCCCTTTGGTTGCTTTGTGGATGATAAACTCTTGGGGGCTAGAGCAGAACAAGAGTTGCTGAGTCCTCCCCTTTTGGGCGCTAAAGAGAACTGGCCAAGTAAAGGGTGTGTGGAAGGATGAAGTAGGCAGAGAGCGAGAGGTTTGGGAGGTGAAATGGGAAGGTACCTCACACTATGTTCTCACCCTTGGGTTCTAAATGGGATGTTTGTGGTTGAGGTCCTTTGGAGGGCTGATTAGTCTCATAGAACACCCTGCCAATTTCAGGATGGATTTCCTTTCGTTCTCCCCGTGACAGTATTGCTTAAGGACAACCAGATGAATCCTGGGAAAACCTGGGCAACAAGGCCCAACAAACTTGGTCTAGTGGCTAGTTGTTATCCTTCTAGCCATTTGTCAGTTTTCTTTGGCTGTCCCAGTGAGCCCCAGTGTTCATGACACCGATCATATCGAATACTTGCTGAGCTCCCCCCATGTCATCCCTGTTCAGCCTTGTGTAATAGAAGAACAAAGTTAGAAGATGCCTGACTAGAGTGTGGATTAAGGGACCAAGACAGAACCTAGGCTCCAAGCTGTGGGATTCTGGCCAAGTTGCTCTGAAATTTTCCTTGAGCTGAGCTCCTGGACCTTGAACTACTTTTTTTATGTCTCATCCAGACCCCCTTGGGTATCTCCATACAGTCCCTGACCCTGGCTTTCTAAATCTTGATCTCCTGAACCTCGTCTGACTGGCTAGTTCTGCCCTTGGACAGCTGATGCCCCCAACACCACAGGACCATCTCCCAGTGGAGAACTTGTGACCAATTACCAGGGAGGTAGTAGGTGTTACAAGTGTTTGTACTTTGTAGCTACCATGAGGACATAACGTCCTGCCCCTTTCCCTGCCTTTGCCGCCCATCTTGGAGCAGGGAGCCGCAGGCTGTTTGGCACCATCTTGGAAAACAACGTGTGCATCCTGCTGGACATGTCGGGGTCCATGTCCCCCTACTTGCAGCAGATGAAGACAGAGCTCGTTCTGCTGATTTGGGAGCAGCTGAAGACGCACTGTGACAGGTAGGGTCAGGGCTGGGGTAGGTAGGGTCGGGAGATCAAAGGGCAGGTCCCTGGGTTTCCCAAGCTGAGCACACTTCCTCCTCGAAGTTCCAAGGAGCAGCGAGGTTTCAGAAACAAGAAATGCTCTTTTAGTACTTTGTTGAGAAGGAAGGAATGCTGAATTTTGCTGCACTGCCACATTTCAGTCTACTTACGTTTTCGTCTAGCATTTTTTTTCAGGGGGTACCCTCTCTCCCCTTGGTGTCTGGACTCACTGTAGAGTCTCTTCAAGAGAGCAACCCTCACAGAGGTGACTTCCACACCTTCAGCACAAACTGGGCTGTTCTTACTGATCCTTTCTCCTCTCTCCCCAGTTTTAACCTGCTCAGCTTCGCAAAGGACCTGAAGCCATGGCAGAACGCCCTGGTGGCAAGCACAGAAGCAACGTGTCACGAGGCCATGCAGTGGGTCGCCAGCCTGCAAGCCCAGGGGAGCACTTCAGTCTTAGATGCTTTAACGGCAAGTACTGTCACTGACCCTACCATGTAGCATGACGGAAACAGCGCCACCCCATGCCAATAGGCCATGAGATGCTTTGGGACTTACAGCATGTTACTCCATTTTATCCTCCTAGCAGCCCAGTGACACAGAAGGTTAGGGAAAATGAGTGACCTGTCTGGGACTAACTAGACAGGAAACGGACCATGCTCTCCTTCCCATCCTTCAGAGGCTCCCTTGGTCTATCTTGGGCTGGAAGAGGAATCTCAATCTTTTTTTAATTTCTTTTCATCATTAGTGTGTGTGTATGTGTGTGTGATATGATCTGTGGGGCATGCACGGCAAGGCACATGTGTGGAAGACAGACAACTTCATGGAGTTAGTTCTCTCCTCCCAACTTTACATGGGTTCCAGGAATCAAATTCAGGTCGCCAGGCTGTGCACAGAAAGCAAGTCCCACATGACGCTCTCTTGACGGCCCAGAATCTCAGTCCTAATGGGGAGCTGTGTAGAATCCTTTGGGTCACATTGTCCTTGGGGGCAGAGTCTCCGCCACTGAGCCATCGTTTCTGCCTTTCCTGGTGACTCTCCCTTCCCGCGCTCTCTCAGAAAGCCTTCAGCTTTCAGGCTGTGCAAGGACTGTATCTCCTAACCGACGGGAAGCCGGACACAAGCTGCAGCCTTATTCTCGACACTGTCCGAAGGTTCCAGAGGGACAGACACGTGAAGGTGCACACCGTCTCCCTGACCAGCACAGACAGGTGAGCAGCAGCAGCCGGCTGACCTCGCTTCTCCTGGAGCGCCGCCCTCCACCAACCCAGGGCCTCCCCTAAACACGGGAATTAGGAGACATGCTGCAGCATGAGGCCCTCTCCCCGCTGCAGACTAACGAAGCAACCAGCTGCTTACGTCACTCTGCACCCTTAGCCTGATGCACCCCAGTTTATGTGTCTTGTTACCGTCTCTCTTCTGGCCTTTTCTGCTCCCCCCTCGTAAAGCATTTATGAATATTTGGGGGAACTAGAGAAGAAAACATTAACTTAGCACTATTCTTAATTTCCTTTGACAATTTCATCCACATATACACGGATGACTATACCGTCCCCCATCTCTGACTTCCACATCCAACTTCCCTTAGGCCTTCCACAATATCTCCCTTTACATTTCTTGGGTTTTTTTTTTTAATTTATTAAATATTTTGCTTACATGGAGGAATGTGTGCCACATGAGTGCCTGATGCCTTCAGAAATCAGAAGGGAGGTTCAGATCCCCTGGAACCGGAGACAGAGATGGTTGTGAGCCACCATGTGGATGTTAGAACTCAAACGCAGGCCCTCCGCAAGAGCAACAAGAGTTCTTAACCACTGAGCCATCTCCAGCCCCATCTTTCTTTTTTTATTAATGTGATACACTGAGTCCAGTTTGTGCTGCCTGTATGTGCGTGGATATGGACCCATCTATTGGGGGCACGGACAACGTACCAATGGCCATATGACCAGAAAAAAGCAACTCCTTTCCCCCCCGCCCCCAACTGTCAATAGCTCCTCAGCCAGGAGAAGAACTTCGGGAGCCCCTCCCCCTCCATGCTGGCAATTTAACTGTCTTGCTCTTGATAGAACAAGCATTGCCACAAATGGTCACTTAGAAGAACACGTTAGACAAGATGCAGCCCCTTCACAGAACCCCTTCTCGTCAGGGCTAAGAGCAAATCTCAGTGACGGAGTGCATCCTTAGATGCGTGAGGCCCCTGACTTCAATCCCCAGGAAAATAAATAAATAAAATAAACTTCGTTGTTAATAAAACCGATTAGTTGGGTACAGATTTTCTCCCTCTGACTAAACTATGAGCTCCATAAGGGCCATATTTGTGTCCCTTTAGGCTTAACTGACACAGTAGACATTAGTGGATGTGCATGTCCCAGCGGAGAGTGTGCATGAAGGTGCTAGCAGTGGTCTGGATGGCATAAGCCGAGGCCCACGCCACGCCTCTTTCCCTTAAGCCTGCAAGGCTTTAGTTCTGCTGTGGGCCCGGAGCTCTGCTTGCCCTCCTAGCCCCTGTGAATCCCTGAGCCTCTGTCCCTTCAGAGAAGCAGTTGAGTTCCTGAGGAAGCTGGCTTCCCTCAGCGGGGGACGTTACCACTGCCCTGTGAGCGATGACACCCTCCGAGGCATTCAAGGCATGCTGGCCAGGGGCTTCCTCGAGGAAAAGGTAGGTCACCAGCCGTCAAGGTGAATCTGCTGAAGAGGCTTCAGTACCTCCACAGGTACTGGCCTCCACCTAGGGAGGGGCAAGGGGAGTGTCTCTGCTTTCTCTTTTAGCAGGCGTGTTTCTCACAGCTGTCCCTCCGAGCCACTTCCCCTTGAAGGTGGAGACAGATGGGGAAGGCCACCGTTAGGTCAGACCAGCTTCCATACGTCACGCACTTACAATGTGCCGAGAAATTGCTTTCCTCGGAGGGCCACGCTCACCTGTCCTCACCCTTACATAGACAAGTAGTTCAAGAAGCTGAGGTGCATATCCAAAGTATGAAAAGGGGTAAAGCCAGACGCGTGAGACCACTGGTCTCAGGTTCTGAACCACTTTCACTCCTACGGACTCCTGTCTTCACCGTTCATTCTCTGAAACACAGACACTCAGTTCATCTGTTAATCAACCTGTAATGAAGTCATCAGGTAGCTACTACGTACCAAATGCTGAGGAGTCGAAGGTTCCAGGGTGCCCCTTCCCCTTTATCAGGAAAATGGTGCAACATATTTAACTTTGTTTTCCGATTAGTTTTTTGAGACAGTGTTTTGCTATGTAGCCCAGACTAGCCTTGAACTCTAAAGCCTCCTGCCTCCACTTGCCCAGTACAGAGATTATAGGTATGTGCCACCATGCCTGGCTTCACTTTTGTTGTTGTTCAGAAATTCTGGAAGCTGAACCTAGGACGTGGTGGTTAGGCATTCTTCCATTGAACTACAACTCTAGATCCCCAGGCCTTGGTTGTTCGAGAAGGGGCTCATGTAGTCCAGACTGGCCTCAAATTCCTATGTAATTGAGGCTGCCCTTGAACTCTTGATCCTCCTGCTTCCCTCTCTCTGGTGCTGGGATTACGGCTATACATCACCACCCTTATTCCAAGGGGTCTGCGTGCAGAGCGGGTACAGCCACAGACACATTGCTGCTGTGGCACAATGGAGGCAGCTTCCTCTCCGTCTCAGAGCTCTGGGAGTCTGTGTTAACAGCTAGGCTCTGGAGTCTCAGTAGTTAATCCTCTGAAGCCTGTTTTACTAGGAAAAAAATGGAAAGGGCTGAAGATGAGCTACTGGCTGACGAGCAGTGTAGACAAGGCACACACACTTCTGCCCACAGGCCCAGGGAAAAGCCAAATTCACTGACATTTGGACACTACCTTGGTCCCTCTCCACCCCACCCCCCAAAGTGATGCTCAAGCATCTAACATCCAACTATCCCATGTTAGGAGTGGTTTGCCTGGATAGATGGAGATGCACAAGCTGAGGCCCACAAGGATTTCCTGCCTCTGATGAGAGGCTGTTTGCTCCAACCATCTTCTTCTGAGACTTTAGATTTTCAGGTCTCATCTAGTTAAGTTAGTACGTTGAATTTTACATTCAGCTCCCCTTCCCCCAGGATCCCAAGTTGCCACTGTTTGAAGGCGATGACTTAAAGATACTGGGCCAGGAAGTCACCAAGGCTAGAAGCTTCCTCAAGCAAGCCCAGCTCTTCAGGTATGTTTGTCAGGCTGCCCCTCCTACCTGGTTAAGCCCCCCAGATGGACACACTACTGGGACACAGAGGCAGGTGAGTTCGAGGCCAGCCTGATCCACGCAGTTCCAGGGTAACATAGTGAGACCTTGTCTATATATATATACACATATACATATGAGAAAAAAAACATACAGCCTTTGTCTTTCCCCACCCCACACCTCATTATCTACTCCCAGGGAACCATTTTTCTTTGCTTTCTGCCTTCTAGAGCCCAGCTCCTGACGCAAAATAACATGAAACCAAAGGCCACTCTTGGCTAGAGACATGTGCTCCGGTAAGAGGAGTGGAAGCCATACCTGCCCAGTGCCCTCCGAGAGCCACAAGCATAACTGTGGGGAAGGATCAGAAATTGTGATTCCTCGGACTTGAAAAGCCGGTCCACAGAGCACCCTGATGTAAAGAGCAGACTGACAGAGACAGCTGTGACACCGGGCACACCGGCAGGGGATAAAATGCTTCACACTGGGATACTCTGAAGGCTGGGGGCAGGAAGGCTTTCTCACTTGGGTTTGGGACCTCCTGGGCCTGGCCTCATCCTCCTGCCCTGTCTCTCCATGTATGGCTAGATCATACACTCTAGCCACTTGTTTGCTACCCTCTGCCTAGTGACTCCTGTTTATCTGTCAAGGCACAGCACAGGCGGCATGGGCTCCACTGTGAAGGTGTCGCTGAAACCTGTATGTTTCAGAGCTAAGGACCTCCGGGCAGATCCCAATGCTCCTGACCAACTGAGCCTCTTGTGGCATTCGACACTTCAGGCAACAATGCCCTGCTCCATGTACTGACCCTTCTTGACCATGGTTCTCCCAAGAAGCGGCTGTCTTGACCATCCATGGATCCCCAGAACCTGCCATAGGGCAGTCGCATGGTAAACATCACCTGAGCATAGCAGCCCAGCTCTGGAGAGCAGCCAGATGAGGGCGAGGCTGCTTCTCCTGGCTCCTCCGTGTACTGTTTACCACCCAGATCCATGGGCCAAGACAGGTACCAGCAGCCTGGCTTGGGAAAAGACACAGCCAAGAGCTGAGTCCCACCCCCGGCTAACCAGAGGCTGTTATGGACCCAGTCCAGAGGAAATGCCCTACTCCAGCCTCTGAAAGGTGGACTTCATCCTTTGAGCCCAGCTATGCCATGTGCAAGAGAATGGGGGCATCATGTGTTTAGATCATCTGGAGTCATTTCCTAAGGTGTGAAAACTGCTTTTACTAAAAGAGTCAAAATTGCTTTAAATGTATGGATGTGTGTGTAATTTTTAGCGAAATAAAACCTTAAGAGCCTCATTCAGAGTATATGGATGATTGAAGCTCAACATGAAAAAGAAAAACATATTTTGTTGTTGTTGTTGTGGTGGTGGTGGTGGTTTTTCAAGAAAGTGTTTCACTGTGTAGTTCTGGCTGTCCTGAAACTTACTCTGTAGACCAGGCCGGCCTCGAACCCAGAGATCTACTTGCCTCTGCCTCTCAAGTGCTGGGATTAAAGGTGTGTGCTACCACTGCTTGACTAAATATAGTTATTTTTAAAAATAAACAGCAATTCTGACAAGCACAAATGGGAAGTAAATACTGCATAGATACTTAACCTCTCGGTGTGACTCACCTGCTCAGCATGCCCAGGGTTCTGGGTTCAATCCTCAGTAACTCTCTCACACACACACAAGTTGAACCAGGCACGGTGGCACATGCCACCTGAGAACTGGAGGCAGGAGAATCAGGCAAGTACAACCCCCCTGGAACTCCTCACAAAAGAACAATGGGAATGAGTTCAGCGGCCTCATCTGTCATGGAAAGACAAATTAAAGCCACAACGAGATGCAGCAGTCACATGCTAAGCATGAGCACCTGGCTGTCAGTATCAAGATAACTGGACCGATTGGGATGCCCATGCTGCTGGAATGGGGGTCAGGGAAGGAAAATGTGAATTTTCACCACTTTGAAAATTTGAAAATTTCTGTAAGAGCAAAACACATCCGTGGTGCGACCAAACAATCCCACTCTGAGGAAAATGAGAATGTGAACACAAAACTGAGTGCGATATCTTTACTCGTTAAAGCCCATAATTGGAAACCACCTAATGTCTAACCATGGTACAATGTGCAAACAAATCATGGCGTAATTTGTATAGTGGCAAACTATGAAGCAATGGAAAGGACACAAACTATAGTTACTACATTCAATAAGACATGTCAAACTCATCAACAGGGGCAGGCAAACACACCTGGCAGAAGCTGGAGATGTGGCTCGGTTGGTAGGAAGCTTGCCTAGCATGCATGAACTCCTGGGTTCTCTATGTACCACCCCGGGGGGGTGGGGAGATACGGAGGCAGGAGGATTGGAAATTCAAGGTCATCCTTGGCGACAGCCAGTTCAAGGCTAGTCTGGGCTACATAAGAATCTCTCTCTCTCAAAAAAAAAAAAAAAAGAAAGAAAGAAAAGAAAAGAAAAAATGAAAGAAGGGAGGAAGAAGGGAGAGCGGGGGGTAGGGAGGGAGGGATGGAGGGATGGAGGGAGGAAGAGAAAAGAAAAAAAGGACTCAGACATAGAGTATGTACTTGCAACTCTGTATGAAATTAAAGAACAAGTGATACTCTTTACTGAGACAGAAATCACATTGATAGTTGCCATGGGGAGTGCAGACCAAGCAGCCAGGATACTGGGAGGTGGGAAAGCTCTGTCTTCACCTGAGTTGTATTTCATTAGGATGTTCAGAGATGGGGCTTTGGGGGAGGGGGGAAGCAGTAACTAATGTTAGACAAGGTCCTGAGGCTGGGTCTCCTGAGACTGAATCCTGGTGGCTTTATAGGAAGAGTAAGAGACCAAAAGAGACACATTTACAATGGGCTGGCTCTTCCACACAATGCGCCGGGCCACTCAGAACTCTGCCAGCAAGGAGGCTATCCTCAGACGCAGCATTTTAACTGTGTCCGGGGAGAACTTTGAACCGGGGCTGGAGATAAGGCTCTGGGGTTAGGAACATTTGGCTGCTCTTCCAGAGAATCTGGCTTGGTTCTCAGCACCCACATGGCACCCTTAACTCCAGTTCCAGGAGGTCTTTTGGCCTCTGGGACACCAAGCACCCACTGCATGAGTGCATACATACGAGCGAAACACTCACACACATGAAATTAATTTTTTTTCAAAACCTTAAGCCAAAACAAAATGTCTTTATTTAAAAAGTTACCGAGTTTCAGGAGACAGGAGAACTACTATCAGCTTGAGGCAACCTGGCCTACACTGGGAGTCCAAGGCCAGCCTGAAAAAGAAACATAGCAAAGCTCTGTCTTAGAAAAATAATCATTAAATTATTTTAAAGGTATTTTTATACATTTACTTTTATTTTATGATTTGAGCGTTTTATGGACATGTATGTATGTATGTATGTATGTATGTATGTATGTATGTATGTATGTATATGCATGTTTGATGCCCAGAGAGGTCATTGGATCTTCTGGAGCTGGAGTTATGGATGGTTGTAAGCCGCCATATGTGTGCTAAACACCAAACCTAGGTCCTCTGCAAGAGCAACAAGTGTTCTTAACCACTGAGCCACCTCTCCAGCCCACTGTAAATTTATTATCTCACAGTTTTAGAGCCTGGAGATCCCGGATGTAGGTTTTAGCAGATCTGGGCTCCCTGGAGGCACTGGGAAGGATCTGGTCCAGGCTTCTTGGTTCCCACAGCTCCTGGTCTCTGGCATATATCGAGAGTTATATATATCCAAATAAATTTATAGCCATAAAAATAGGTTTAATTCCATTCTTCACCTGATTGACTCCATGGGTATGTCTGTGCCCAGGTTATTTTTACCCTGGTTATACTGAAATGAAGCCTTCTTCATTCTACTGAACCCCAGCTTAACTAATCCCATGTTCACATTCTGAGGTACTAGGAGTTGGGGCTTCAACATACTGTTCGGGATACAGACTATGACAGTTGTGAGCGATGATGCTCTTGGCCAGCCAGCCCACTGACTGGGGAACATGAGTTCTGTGGTCCTGCTGGTCTTGTGAATGAGGGTTAGGGAAGATGCCAGGCTTGTGAAGAGATGGAGAGGAAATGGGTTTGAATCCCACCTTCTCACACAACAGTAATGGCTGCTGTTGGTTGAGCACCAGCTTCGCAGCTCCGTGTTCTAGGGTTTGTATATACTCTGTCATGACAGCCATAAGCCCACAGTCTCCTGAGGGCAAACTACACACCACTTCCCATGTGTGGTTGAAGAAACACAGCAAGAGAATGGCAAAGGGCTGGCAAGACAGTTCAGCAGGTAAAGATTGTCACCAAGAATAATAACCTAATTTCAATGCCAGGAACCCATATGATGGGAAAAGCCACCTCCCACAAGTTGTCTTCTGATTTACACACACACATGCCCACATACACATAAGTCAATGCAACCAAAAGGAAAAGAGGCAAAGCCAAGACTTAAGGATCCCAAAGGCCCATACCTATGACTCCCTGAGCTTCCTTTCTGAACCTCTGAAATGGGACGCTCTACCTGGCATATGGCAGGAGCAGACTGAAGTCTGGGATTTCTCAGAGCTTGTCGATACAGGTGGAGAGCTTTCTGTGGCCCTTCTCACACTAAGGTGAGAGGCATGCTCCTTATTCTGAGCCCGGTGGCTTTGCTGTAACAGATGTGTAGGAGGCTGGACCCCGGCCAGCCTTTCTGTTACTGTTTCTCAAACACGAGTTTTCCAGCGATGGGAAAGCCAGAGCAGTCCCCAGCATGGAGGAAAGGCCAACAGTAAAGAAGCAACCATTAGGGCTGGAGTCTGGAGGACTCAGGTTCAATTCCCAAGATCTGTAACTCCAAGATCTGACATCCTCATATAGACATATGCAGACAAAACATCAATGCACATAAAATAAAAATATTTTTTTAAGAAGAAAAAGAAAAAAATCCATTAAAATAGAGTGGGGAAGCCAAACCAGGAGGTGCAGGCTTAATTCCTGCTCTTTGGGGGGCTGAGACAGGAGAATCACAAATTCAACGCCCCCTTGGGCTACAGAGGAAGTAAGTAAAGGAGGCAGGGTGAGGATGCAGCTGTGTGATGGAGTACTTGTCTAGCATGGGTGAGGCCCTAGGTTCAGTCTGCAGTGGGAAGAAAATGGGGGGGGGGGTAAAAGAAAGTAAGAATGATAGGTGGAAGGTAAAACGGGTATATAAAGTTAACTGGATGGATAGAAACTTAGACAGATGATAAGATGGGCCGTGGAAGGTCAGACGGACAAGTGAAAGGTAAGAGGTGGATTGAAAAAAAAAAAAAAAAAGACGGATTGATATGTGGGTGGAAGTTTGAAAGAAACATAGAGACAAACTCACAGATGGATGAACAAAGGGATATATGAGTGTGTGTATACATATATATAAAATCACACACATACACAGAGAGGGGAGAGAGACAGAGCTGGATGAGGGAAAAGGTGGAATGATAAACAGAAACGGTCGGTACGGAAGAACCGTGGCTGGAGAGTAGAGCAGAGGAGAGGGCAGGCTCTCAGCCCCTCTGCCTCTTTTCTCCAGAAACAGGGCCCTCTCGCTGCTTGCTCACCCTTAGGTGAGTAAGGCTGCCAGGCTCTAAGTTGGTGAGCCCAGAGGCACCAGGTTGGACAGCTGGGGAGGAGGGAGTGGGCGGGGCCGTCCGGGCCAGCCCAGCTGCCGTCACACAAGTGGTGCCTTCCTTGGCGCCGCCGAGAGCCAAGAGGCTACAAGAAGCACGCAGCGCAGCGCAGCTCTGCGGGAGCTCGAGCCAGGTAAGTGCAGACTGGAATGTAAGGGCTGGGCAAAGAGGACCAGGGGATGGGGATCCGCACCCCCATTCATCAGCTGCATGGAGCATGCTCAGCACCAGGAGGCCGTGGGGGGGTTTCCCCATGGGTCCCTGCCACTACTGTGCCCTTTCATGAACCTGAGCTTCCGTGTCTCCGTGAATCTGGATTAAGGACTGAGTCCTCTGGCTAGTTTCATTTTTGTTGGTTTTAAATATTATAGTATTATTTATTACTACTACTATTAACTATTAATATGTGCACGTGTGTATGTGTGTATGTGTGTACGAATGTGCGATCGATCGGGGGGTGGGGAGAGACAGATGGGGTGGGATCACCTTTTGCCATGGCCCGTGTATGGAGGTCAGAGGACAACTTTCTGAAGTCAACTCTGCCCTCCTCATGGATCCGACTCAAGTAGCCAGGCTGGCAGAGATGAGCCATTTGGTTGACCATGGCTTTTGAGACTGTATCCCAAGCTGCCCTGGAACTCACTATAAAACCCAAGCTGGCCTCCAACTCACGGCCATCCTCCTGCTGAGGTCTTTGAAATTCTGGTATTGCAGGTGTGCATCGCCACAGGCTACCTTTTCACAATTCCCTGATGTCCCCTGGGCCTCGGCTTCCACCTCTGGGTAATGGGAACTGCAGTTTGTACTTCCTGGGTTTGCCAGGAGAAGTAAGCACTGCCATATCCAGGTTCAGTCCTGGCATAGCCGTATGCTTCCCTAAGGAACAGGCTCCTATTTATCCCCCCCAGCTCTTAGCAAGGTACTGTTCCAGGCTTGGGAGATAGCTGTCAGCAGACCCTTCATGCAACCTATGTTGAAGTGATATGCAAAGGCTCATCACTCTCTTGGGACCACTGTAGAAAGGAGATGGAGCAGCCAAGATGATTTGGGCCCATTTCACAGTTGTGGATACTGAGGCAAAGTGAAGGTTTAAGCATTCTACCCAAGGGCACACCCAGCCTTTGCTACCACAAGTGTCCATAGACCCATCCCCAGAAGAATCATCTGGGCCTTGAGCAAGGAGGCTCCCCTCTAAAATTATGTCCTTTCTCCTGGTAGAAGGGTGGGCTGGGGAATTAGATATCTTCTATAATAACTCTGGGTTGGGATGCCCCTTCCCACCATTTACTTGGGACCTGATTGCATTCCTATCCCCAAAACAAACAGGACAATGGCAGAGGGGACACATGCATAGTTCTTAATAACTGCCAGGGTCCCCGTCCTGTGACCACCACAAGCTCATCGGTCAGTCAGTCACTCAGGGAACACCTGCAATTTTGTGTAGCCATTATGCACCACGCAGGGCATAGCTTGGTATGAAGAAGGCCAGCAGTGCGGTCGTTGCTTCTATAATGTTAAAGACCTGGCCCCGGGGCCGGCCTGATGCTCAGGTAGATAAAGGTAGGAAAGACCCTTATCTTTCCTGGGTCATCTTTGGCAGTTGACTGAGCCTAAGTCAGCCATGGGTCTAGAATAAGGAGACCTACCCACCTGAGTGGGAAGGCTGCAGGACAGAATTTGTGGTGCCAGCCAACTGCTCCTGGGGAACCTGGCATCTGGCATGGCTGCAGACCTGGGGGTCACAGACAAGTATCCAGGGGCTGAGCCCTTTAAGCCCCATGTGGTTGATCCCTCTTTTCCCTCCTTCTCTTCTTCTTCACCCATCTCTTTCTCTCCTTCCTCATCCTCCTGCTCCTCCTCTTCTCCCTTCTTCTCTTTCCTTCCATCCTCTTCTTTTTCTCCCTTCTCCTCTTCCTCTCTCCCTCCTCCTTTTTTCCCATTTCTCCTCCTCCCTCTACTCCTCCTTTCCTTCATTTTCCTCCTTTCCCTCCTTCCTCTTGTCCTCCTCTTCTTCCTCTCGATCCTCTCTCCCTTCCATTCCTTTTCTCTTCCTTTTCCTCTCTTCTTCCTCTTTTCTTCTGCCTTGTCCTCCTTGGCCTCCTGATTCCTAGCTCAGATAGCACCATACCCAGTGTGTGAGCCCCTTCTGGTGCTACATGGGGCCTGTGTGGAAATCAGGAGTGTTTAGTGTATATCTGAGTCATGCAACACAACTTTGAGCCTCAGTTTCCCCAGAGATGAAGTCAAAGGACAGGCTGCCTTCTCTGATTCCCTGAGCAGTCAGTAGCCACAAAGAAGTTCTCAGGGCCCTGAACAAATTTGGAGACCTGAGAGATCTCTGAGGCTGAAATTCTCCTGAAGTTCCCCTCAATCCTAGGGACCTGATAACATGTGCCTTGAGATGACCTTTGAACATTCTTCTGGCTTTCTCCACAGGTGGACAAAACAGCCTCTAGGCTGCATGGCTTTATAGAGGATGAAGACCAATCCTGTGGGCTCCTCACTAGAAGCCTGTCGATCTGCAGGCCAGGGCGAAATGGGCTGCCCTGTCTGCCAGGCCTGTGGAGGGGCCTCAGGCCTGGGGTCTGCTTCAGGGTTGGGCTCAGGCCTCAGGCTAGGACCTGGAGTGGTTTTGAGCTCTGGGCTGGGGCCTGGAGCTATTCCAGGACCTGGGGCTGGGCCTGGTCCTAGTGCTGTTCCAGGGTCTGGGCTAGGACCTAGTGCCGTTTCTGTGACTGGTCTGGGACCTGGTACTACTTCAGGGCCTACTACTGCTCCGGGACCTGCACGAGGAGCAGGATCCTTACCTGGACCAGGAGCTAGGTCTGGACCCAGGCCAGGATCTGAGTCAGTACCTGGGCCAGTAACTAAGCCAGGAATTGGGCCAGTACCTCAGCCAGGTCCTGGGCCAGTACCTAAGCCAGGAATTGGGCCAGTACCTCAGCCAGGTATTGGGCCAATACCTAAGCCAGTAAGTGAGTCAGAATCTGGGCCAGGACTAGGGTCTGGGACCAGGCGAGGCTCTGGGACTGGCTCTAACCCCAGTGAATCAGTGAGAACCCCAGTACCAGCGCCACAGCAGAAGACTCCGGCCAAAACCACACAGGCCCCCAAACAGAAGGTCCTGGTGACAGGAGGAGGGGGTTACCTGGGCTTCAGCCTGGGTTCCAGCCTGGCCAAGAGGGGCACTTCTGTCATCCTGCTTGATCTCCACAGACCCCAGTGGCCACTGCCTTCAGGAACTGAGTTCATCCAGGTACAAAGATGGGGATCACAGAGGGGATGGCGGCTGGAGGGGATGGTGCTGGTGACAGAGCTCAGGGAACAGACACAGTGTGAACCAGGACTTTGAGATCTCAGGCTCTGCAGTCAGATTTAGCTCCAATTTCTCTTTTGCTTTTAGGCTTTGTTATCAACGTGTGTGACATGTTTCTACGTGTGTGACGTGTATGTGATGTATCTGTGCACGTGCGTGCGTGGGGTACGTGTGTATGGATGTGATGTGTGTATTACTATTACACGTGTGTGATGTGCATGTGTATAAAGTGTAGTATGTGTGTTTGATGTGTGTGCGTGCGGTGTGTGAGTGTGTGATGTGTGAGTACGTCGGCGATGTGTGCGGTGTATGTGAGAGAGTACAGTCATACGTTTGCCAGAGGACAACTTTGCAGTCATCTCTTTCCCGACACCACGGTGAGTGAGGCCGGCCTCTCTCGTTTCTGCGGCCATGCCGCACACCGCAGTCTGGCGAGCCTAAGAGCTTCCGGGTAATTTCCTTGTCCCCACCTCCCATCTCACCATAGGAGTGCTGGGATGACAGATGCAAGCCACCCCACCCATTGTTTTGGGACTTCCAGGAGTCAGACTCTGATCTTCAGGCAGAAAGCTCTTTCACCCTCTTAGCAGCTTTGCCATCCTTAGCTCCTCCTCTTCTACTTCCCGGCTGCAGTTACACCATCTTGAGCCTTGGTTGCTGTCCACAGAGACAGCAACCACATGTATTTTACAAGGGGCTCATCAGGAGTCAGTAAGAGTGCAAACGAAAAACCCAGGCCAGCCCTGGGCCCAAGAGCAGAATGGATAGGGACAGCGCCCGCTGACAGTCTGTGGAGTTAATAAGTCCTGGCCCACCAAATGCTTGCCCTGGGCTGGGCAACTGCTTTGGATTTGAGGCTCTTACTTCTGTTTTAGGCTGATGTCCGAGATGAAGAAGCTCTGTACCAAGCCTTCCAGGGGGTGGACTGTGTCTTCCATGTGGCCTCCTATGGCATGTCTGGGGCTGAGAAGGTGAGACTACACACACACACACACACACACACACACACACACACACACACACACACAGAGCAGGGCTGAGTGGTGTTCAAGTCCTGTCCCACCCACCACACTCTGATGTCTGAGCATTCCCTCTTGCTCTTCCGCTCCTCCAGAGAAGAACTGGACATCCATGACATCAGTCACCAGTGCTGATCCCTTCCACCTGTGTGACCAAGGGCCAGTTAACCTCTCCAAGCTCTTCCTTCCTCATCTGGAAAGGGAGGACATAACCTCGGTTTATGTCACAGACTCTTTAAGGAACACTGCATCAGTGTTTACCGAAACATACTCCAGTTGACTCAGATTATACTCATCTATATAGGCATAGCTTTGTTTTTAATGACAAAGTACAGAAATAACACGGTGGCCCATTAGTTACTGAAATAAGCTGTAGCAGGTATACCGTCAAACTTTACACAGCCATACAAAAAAACGAGAAGACTCAAAAATGTTGATAGCCCACCATATCTCCAAAGATCAAGACGATGTTTGCTCTCCCCTGTCTACCTTAAACAAGAAAAAATAAAATAAAATAAAAAGCTAAGAGGCTGTAAGATAACCTAACCAGCCACCGTTAAGCCCAGCACCCTGGAGGCAGAGGCAGGAATATGTCAGTGAATATGAGGCCAAGCTGGATGACCTCGTTCTGACGCCCAGGACTCACACGGTAGCAGAGGAGAACGGGCTCCCACAAGCTGTCCTCTGACCTTCACCTATGTACCTTGGCACCCGCACACATAGACCCACGCATGCAGATAAATAAAAATGTACAAACGTTTTAAAGCCAGGATAAACGTTTATTAAATCCACGTGGGTGTATGATGGTGTCAGGTTTTCTATACAAACATATTAAGCTGTTAGCAGCAGTTTCCTCTGGAGAGGGCAGAGGAAGACTTGGAACCAGGAGTGTGAAGGAACTTTCCTCTTCATTAGGTACACTTGAAAAAAAAAATGTTTCATGGCCAGGTGCGGTACTACACTCCTGTAATCCCAGCACTCTGGGAGGCAGAGGCAGAAGGCACTCTGTGAGTGCGAGGCCAGCCTCACACAGAGCAAGATCCAGGACAGCCAAGGCTACACAGAGAAACCCTGTCTCAAAAAAAAAAAAAAAAAATGATCCAACACTTATCCCTTATCCCTTGAAGTCACTTATCCCTGCCAACCTCTATGCCAGGCCCCGCCCCCTACTCCACATATCCTTCAGTGAGAACCCTGCCGACCCTGAGCCCAGCCTGTGGCCTCAGCCGCAAGGCAGAAGGCAGCATGTGACTTCCCATCTCCCTCTTGTCTTTTAGCTACAAAAACAGCAGATTGAGTCTATAAATGTTGGAGGCACCAAACTAGTGATTAATGGTAGGTGCTCAGAGTGGGCCTGCTGTGTGACCCTTTCTCTTCTTTCCCCTGCCACTGGCCTGGCTCCGGGGTGGGGGTTGAGGTTGGGGGAAACAGAGACAGGACCCCCCTGCCCTACCTAGCTGTACAAACTGAGGCCAGTGGGAGATGGAATATCTTTCCTGTCTACAGACCTGCTCAGGTCCCTGTAGGGAACATCAGCAGTCTTAGCATGTCTAGGGACTCAGGGTTGAGGAGGACATAAAGGACACTCACTGAAACATCAGATAGAAGATCTGATCCCTGTAGGGCTGTCTGGGTGTGCCCAACCTTGACCTTAACTCTCTCCAGTTCTAGAACACTTTTTCTGTCTGTTCCATCAAGTGATTTGTCTTCTTACCTGCCCCTTGTCTTCTTAACCTGCCCCTGACAGGGGGGCGCTGGGGACCAAAGCCACACCAGAAGGAGGAATAAGAAGCCCTGACTCCCACATCCCAAGTTGAGGGGGGCGGCTTTTCCCTCCCAGGCAGCTCTAAATTCTGGGAGATCCCTGGTGGTATGGGGTGGGAGGTGAAGACTGAGTAGAAATGGGTGGGTTTGACCACAGAGGCCTTTTGGGGCACCTCCTGAGCAAGCTCCTTGCTCACAATCTGGCTGTGGTATGTGTGTGTGTCTCCTGAAGTCTGTGTCCGCCGGCGGGTTCCAAGGCTCGTGTACACCAGCACGGTCAATGTGACATTTGGTGGGAAGCCCATCGAGCAAGGCAATGAGGACTCCGTCCCCTACTTCCCCCTGGACAAGGTACCAACTTCTGGGGGAGGAGGACGGGGTGGCAGGTCTAGAATGGACTGCCCAAAGAACAGGCATAGATGGAGCCAGGTTCTTCTTATGGCTCCTGGTGCATCCCAGCAGGATAGACTCCCGAACTGAATGGTACAAGCTCTCTCCTGCTTCAGCTTGTCTTTGCCCATGGAAGCTTCAAATCCAGATAGACCTGGCCTCGGGCCCTACCCAGCCTGGCACCTTTCACCTCTGTGACAGAGTGCAAGTTATCATGTGCTCCGAACCTCTGTTTCTTCATCTAAGCCTGAGAATACCATGGAGGCGGTTTATAGAGAGCAGGGAGCCAGACAGCTTGTGAAAATGCCCCGGGAACACTAAAGAATAACACATGACTGAATCACCCAACCTACATCGAGTATCCCTGTCACCGGGCAGATGTGGCGGACTGGCAGGTGCCTCCCTGAGACCAGGACCGTGCAGTCATGGGGTAGATGGAGCCCAGCTGGGCCAGCATTGCTAACAACATAACTGAGCCCACCTGGTGGCTGTGTTCTCCTTGTCCCTTGGCAGCATATGGACCACTACTCTCGAACCAAAGCCATTGCTGACCAGTTGACTCTCATGGCCAATGGAACACCTCTCCTGGGTGAGTACCATGGGGCCGTGCTCATCACAGGCACGCCTGCCCGCTGCTGGCTCTTTAAAATGTGTGTCTGAAGTCCTATGGCCATCTAAGCGACGTCTCCCAGCGGTCCAGGCCTTCGTCCTTCAGTGTGTCCTGAGCATCTTGCATGAGCCTCCCCAGCCAGGACACAGCCTGGACATTCAGATGCCATGTTTGCAGTCCGGTGAGGAGAAGACTTAGACACTTGCTCTCTTTGCTGTCTTACGGGAGTGTGGGAGTGGGTTTAGTTTTTAAGCAGTCTTCTCTAGCATTACAAACATGCAAGGAGCTCTTTGGAGGAACCGTGCAAGTGTGAGAGAGGCCTTAGCACTTAACCTTCAGTAACTTCCCAGAAAAACCTGCCTTGGCTGTCTCCCTTGCATTCTCTCAGGAACAGTCCACACTTGAGTGCATTCTTTGTGCCAGCCCCTGTTTTTGCATACTAATTTCATATGTAAAAGGTTCATCGACTCCGTATCATTCCTGAGTGGGGGATGGAATTTAGACATTCCTGATCTTCCACACAGGAGCTGAAACCATTCATACCATTTGCTTGTCATAAATCACTGTTACTGTCCGAGTAAGTAAGTCAGAAGCTAAAAACACCAAAACAGCCAACATGGTTTCATCTGCCTGGGCCTGGTGGCAAAGTCCTCTCATAATCAGCTACTCAGGAAGCTGAGGCAGGGAAATCACAAGTTCAAGGCTTGCCTGGGCTTCAGAGTGAGGTAAAGGCTGTTATAGGCTCTATAACAAGACTGTGCCTTAAAAAGGGGGGCACGGGGACACCAAGACATAGCTCAGAAGTAGAGAGCTTGCTTAGCACAAGGCCTATTCTACCCCTGGGACTGTTTCTCTTCCTAAACCCACAACCCCTTAATACAGCTCCTCATGCTGTGGTGACCCCCAACCGTAAAGTTATTTCCATTTCTACTTCACAACTGTAATTTTGCTACCGTTATGAATCATAATCTAAATATCCGATATGCAGGATATCTGATATGCAACCCAAAAGGGGTCATGACCCACTGCTCTAGTACCACTGGGGGAAAAAAAAAAAAAAGACAAATGGGGGAACCAATCAGGCTTGAAGAACAAAAGAGGCTTGAAATTATAGCCTCCAGTTTACACATAGGGAAATAGAGACGGGTTAGCTGGCTAAGCTCAAAGTCACCCAGCACTGGGCAGTAGAGTTACATTTTGAAGCCCAGGAGCCAGAATCCAGGCCCACCTACTCGAGGCAGCACACTAGGTCCCCTCTCGTGGGCTCTTTTCCCTACACTATCCCTGCTCTCATGACCTCGTCTATCACCCTTGACCTCTGATCCTGGTATGCACATTCACTATGTTTCCCCAGGATCTGATGCAGCTGAATTCCCTTCTCTGCCAGGGCACAGCCCCTTCACCTACCGCCAGCCCAGACACCTAATCTTCTGGCTGGAATTATTTATATGCACATCTCCAGCTTTCAATGCTCGGAAGAGTCACGGATACCCTAGGCCTGCCCCTCGGTGACGTGGCTACCCAGTGTCTCTCCGGCCACCATTGGCTGCAACCTGACCTACCTCTACCATGCCTCCAGGGACCCGAAGTTTAAACTTAGCTATAGGCCACAGAAAAGCTCAGCTGACACCTGCCTTCCAGGAGGCCAGCCATGGTCAGCAGAGGTGGTTACTGCAGCCTCTGATCCAGGCTGGTCCTGAGACGGCCCTCCCTTGAGCTGGGCTTCACTTGAGCTGGGTACCACAGTCTTAGTAAGTAGGTCACAGTGCCTTGTCAGTGTGCTGTGTCCCCCTGAATCTGCCGGTGGTGCTGTCCTGCAACCCACAGTGGCTTAGAACAGTGTCTTGCCACCTAAAAGCTAGAGTCTGGTGTTAGCAGCTGTTAGGGGGTCGGCCTCCCTTTGGAGGCTCTGAAGGAGGGACCCTCCTCATGTCCTCCAGCTTCAGGTGGCCCCTGGAAAACTCCAATCCTTCCTCCTTCATGTGGCCTCTTTCCCCTCTGTGGGTCTCTTCAAGACACTTGTAATTGGATTAGGCCCAGCTAAAAAAAAAAAAAAATCTGCCATGATCTCAGATCACCAATATCCTTAATTTACACCCTTGAAGGCCGCTTTTCAGACACAGCCCTATTGGCAGGTTCCAGAATGCAGGTGTACCTTTTGGGGACCAATCTATCATCCATGACACTGGGCTTCCTTGTAAAGGGAGGGTTATTTGGTAAAGACGGAAGGTTCTGGCCCTGGCTGATGGACGGGGGAAGGGAACACAATGGAAGTATCTGGAAAACAGGTCTGTAGAAAAAGCAGAACAGGTCATGAATGGCTCAAGGGCTGGTAGGAGAGGACGGCCACTGACCTCAGGGCTGGTGGTCCCAATACCACGCTGCTGAGAGTCATGTCCAGCTGGGAAGATCCTAAGGACACCGCCTCTAAGCACCTCCTTGGGGTGGCGATGGGGCAGTTCTCCAAAGAAATTGGGCTGCATGAGGTATGTATGCTGCCCCCCCTTGCAGGAACAGGAAGTATAGATGGCTTTGGCCTCCCATCCTTATTGGCTGTGGCCTCCCTTCCTCCATGTGCACTCCTCTGCAGGTCCCTGACCACCTTCTCATCTGTCCTAGGAGGAGGGACCCTACGTACCTGTGTACTCCGCCCCCCAGGGATCTATGGTCCTGAAGAACAGAGACACCTGCCCCGGGTGGTGGTAGGTCCTTGGGCCCAAAGGCAGAAGGAGTCAGGCTGACATGGCGTGCACACTGAGTGGGCATTCGAAGCTCCCTGTCATTGCGTCTGTGAAAGGAAGTGTCCCCAGCCAGAGACTCTCCGTGCTGGGACATCACCCTGATGCCCACCAGCACACAGTCCCTCAGACCTACCAGGGTCAAAGCTGTCAGTGTGCCAGCTAGGCCTCAGTTCAAGTTGGGAGAAAGAAAGCTATGACCTCAGAAACGCTCTCATGTGGGTGCCCCGAGGGCTGGGCATTTCCTTCTGCTGAGTTCTCACAGGACACCAGGTCAACTGCAGTGACTTTTCCCCCGACTTCAATACTTGTGGAACTACTAGTGGGTGCTCAGTACTGTTGTGCTTCAGGGACAGACCATCAGACAGAGCAGACAGTTCCCGCCCTTGTGTGGCTCCTGTTCTCACACCGGGAGATAGATTAAAGGAAACCTATGTTGGAAGGAGCCTGGCATAGTGGTGCACGCCTGCACCAAACACAAAGGGAGAGAAACGTGGGTGGAGTGAGGGAACTGGGCTCTTGGGAAAGCTGGGGAGGTCCCTTGGAAGAAGCGAGGTTTTAAACCTGACGGAGCCAAGTGTGTCAAGCAGGCTGTTGGAGAAGAACCTCATAGAGGCGCAACTCTCTGAAAGCTGTAAGATTGTCCAGGAGTAGACAGCCAGCTCTGGGGTCTCAGCAGCACAGGCAGGAGGGGCAATCTGTAGAAGGAGACGCTCTGTAGAGTAGCTGGGCCACGTTAGAGGGGCTTTCAGGCACTGTCAGCCTTCCAGCCCGAGCGCTTCTGTCTTCATCAGAACAGGGACAGATGGGGCTGGTGGTACAGCCAAGTGGACGGTTAAGAAGCTGCCATAGGCCCCAAAGTGAGAGGTGAGGGTGGCAGTGGAGGAGGAAAGTGCTTGAATTCTGAACAGGTGTGATGGCTGAGGTAGCTGGCTGTGCAGGTGTTTTGAATGTGAGGCATGAGAAAAGTGAGGAAGGGCGAAGATGGTCCCAAGGTCATCTGTAGACAGGCAAGCAGAGATGTCCAGAGGACTTGGGACGTGGGTGTTGGGAGTCTGGCCTGTAACTGGCCCCTTGGAAGCTGTGAGCATGTAGATAGAGTATAAAGCCACCCGGGTGAGCCCGCATTGTCACCTCTCCCCCGCACCACCCAGAGCCACATCAAGAAGAGACTGTTCATGTTCCGGTTTGGGGACCGCAGGACCCGCATGAACTGGGTCCATGTGCAGAATCTGGTGCAGGCGCACATGCTGGCGGCTGAGGCCCTCACCATGGCTAAGGGCTACATGGCTGTGAGTGTCCTGTGACATCCCTGCCCCCTCCCATCCCCATACTCTACCCACACCCCTCGCTCCACCCCATCCCTCCCACACACACCCACACCCGCAGGCTGCAGGTGAGGAGAATCATGCCTGCAGGTGCCCCGGGAACATAAGACTGAGCAGAAGTGTCAGCCATCATAATTATTTCTTCACAGTGACCCTATGGCAGCACAGCTTCAAACCAAAGTGTGTCACAGCCAGTCTTTCATCATAATTCTCATCTGGCTGAAGACATTGAAGTACAACGAGGTTGAGTCCATCAGAGTCACAGGGCTCGTCAGTGTGGTCACTCAGTTACCAAACTCCAGGCCACAACCTGTACCTTAAGAAGCCAAGGTCAATACTAGCACTCAGGAAGGCAGAGGCAGGCACATCTCTGTGAGTTTGAGACCAACCTGGTCTACAGAGTGAGTTTTAGGATAACCAAGTCTAAAGAAGAAGGAGGAGGAGGAGGAAGGAAAAAGAAGAGAAGAAGAAACAGCAGCCAAGTTCGATCCTTTAGAAGCCAATTAAAAGAGTCAAATTAGCCAGGTGTTGATGCTAGCACTCGGGAGGCAGACGCAGGCCGATCTCTGAAACAGCTGCTGGGAACCGTGAGACAGGAGGAGTCAGGCTGTGCGCAGCATCTGATTGCTCCTCTTCTTTCCTCCTGTCACCCTCAGAGCGGGCAGGCATACTACATCAATGACGGGGAGAGCGTCAACCTCTTTGAGTGGATGGCCCCACTGGTAGGTGTTCTGGCCCCCGAGCCCAGAGTGACTCCTTAAAATCCCCTCGTCTGCCTTTGCATCCTTTCCTACCACCGAAACCCAATAATTCACATTAGAAAGCGCCGGCAGCATGTGCACGGGTAGCCCCGGGCACAGCCGGAGCTGGGCTGTGGCTGCCCTGGAGTGATACCACGTGCTCCTGCTTTTGCCACAGACGCCTCCCAACTGGCCTCCTGATTACACTGACTCTGGCCACCTGAGTCTTCAGTTGTTTCTTTTTGCAACAGAACCCAGGGCCCATGCTAAAGCACCTAATCTATCACTGAAGCAGGTTGGCTCGTAATCGCTAGGCAGGTATGTAGAAGGTCACCGGAGCCCGGAGGGAGGAGTTCAGTTTCTGGGAACCCTGACCTCTCTCAGCAACCCACAGTCTCCTTTGGACAAGGCCTGTCTGGAAAGCGAGCATGGCATCCCAGGCTAGAGGCAGAGGGGTTATTTTGTACTTCTGCGCCAATGGCGGTTCTGGATTGCTCCATTTAAAGAGCACTCTGTGGCTGGAGAGACGGCTCGGTGGTTATAAGCACCAGCTGTTCTTCCAGAGGACCTGGGTTTAAGGCCCAGTGCCACATGGCCGATAGCAACTATCTGTTAACTCCAGTCTCTGAGGATCTGATACCCTCTTCTGGCCTCCACAAGCACCAATCATACATACAAGCAAAACACGCACACATGAGAAGTTGTTTTTTGGTTTTTTTTTTTTTGTTTTTTTTTAAAGGGTACTTTTATTCAGATGTAACTTACAAGCTATGTGATTCTCCTACAGAAGGGATACAACCCAATATGGTTTCCTTTTTAAAACCATAGTCAGAATTACACATCACCGTAAGTGACTTTAAAGCAGGTCTTCAGAAAAGTGAAACAGGCCTGTACCTGTTAGCAACAAGACCCTGTCTCCACCGACCCCATTTCTACCCGCAAACCCAACCCACGCCAGGCACCATGAGGCTTCCTCTCTCCTGTTTCGCCTAAATTGGGTATTTCATAAATGGCTTCCCCGCCCCCTTAGTTTTCAGGGTTCATCGGTGTTGTGACAGGTATCGGGTCAAGACTTGGTCTCTCTCTTTTTCTTTAATGTACCGAGCATGGCCGCACCTGTGTATGCATGTGCGCATGTATGTAAGTACGCACGCTTGTGTAGGTCAGAGGGCAAGCTCTGGTGCTGTCCCTTCAGGCACCGCTTACTCTTCTTTTAAGACGGGGCCGCTCCAACAGAGCTCGCCAAGGAGGCTGGGATAGCACTGAGCACCCCCTCCCTACCCAAGCCCCACCCCACTGGGATTACACTGCGATGTGCTTGCATGGAGTTTCTGGGCTAAACAGTTTAACTTTCCAATGAAGAACCGCCAGACTGTTTTCCAGGACTGCAGGCCCCCCTGTCTCCCCAGCAGTGGAGGAGTGCTCCCTTTCTTTCCAGCCTGCCAGCCTTTGTTTGCCTTTGAGGTTAACGCAAGGGGGACAGCTCCATTCATCCCCTGCCAGCCTATTTCTTCCTGTGCCTCCTTCTGCCTTCCACACACTTCCCGGGTTTTAGCTATCTCTCTCTCTATATATATTTTAATAGTACAGTCAATTCTGGAAGGAAAAAAAAAATCAGATTCTACTTAAGAACCTGGAAACATGTTCAGGTGTGGGTGGATATAGTAAAAACTGAATGATGTGAAAGACTCTAAGTTTAAAAACCTGCCCTAGGCCCAGCAGTGGTGACCCATCCCTTTAATCCCAGCACTTGGGAGGCAGAGGGAGGCAGATCTCTAAGTCTGAGGCCAGCCTGGAATACAGAGTGAGTTCTAGGACAGTCAGGGCTACACAGAGAAATTTTGTCTTGAAAAAAAAAATAGATAAAAGATAGTTTAGCAGGTAAAGAGTCCTGTTGCCAAGCCTGGCAACCTGAGGACCCACATGGTGGAAAAAGAGAACTGATTCCTGCAATTGCAGGTAAGAAAAAAAAAAAAATTGTTCTATATTTTCAACTACTTGAGTTATCCTGACCAAGGAAAGGATCTCATTTTAAGACTGGTGTGCATGATGATGATGATGATGATGATGGTGGTGGTGGTGGTGGGCGTGGTGGGCGTGGTGGGCGTAGTGTAAGTGCCCTTAATTCCAGCCCTAAGGAGGTAGAGGCAAGCAGATCTCTGCGATTTGAGCACAACCCCCACCCCCACTCCCCCACCCCCGGTCTACAAGGAGACCCTGTCTCAAAATAAAAATAAAACGAAACAAAAACTAGTATGGGCTGGGAAGGTCTCTCTGGGCTGACGGGGTCCCCGGACAACCAGGAAATAGGAAGCAGGTGGTCTTTCCTCAGGAGCCAGTCCCTGAACAACCCATTCTCATGTCAGATCACGTTCCCTTGCAGTTTGAGAAGCTGGGGTACAGTCAGCCCTGGGTCCAGGTACCGACTTCCTGTGTTTATCTGACAGGTAAGGAAACCTGGATGAGGGTGAGGCCAGGGAGGCACCCAGGGGGTGAGGGTAATGAATTTAAACAGGTTGCGCAGGGGGACCCAGCCTGACCCTGCACTCAGAAGGGTGAGCGTCTCCGTGTAACCACAGAGGCAGTGATCCATTCATCATCGACCCACCCCGCCTAACCCTGAGCCTCTTTCGAAGCTGGTAACTGTTGTCAGACAAGAGACTGGCTCTGAGTCCTGCCTGAAGTGGTTCCGAGAGAGCGGGACGGGCAGCTCTGACTAGACTGATGCAGGAAGGCAAGATGCCTCTCTCTGCCAAGGTCACCCTGATACCACGGCTCCTTTCCGGTCTGTGGAGACTTTGACCTTGGAGTCTGCCCCGCCCCTCGCAGGTCACTATCGGCTCCCTCGCCTTTGTCCCACCCCGAGACAGCGTGTACTGCTGCTGCCCTCTGCTGGCCTCCTTCCAGTAAGAATGCAGTGAGGTGGCCCTCAAGTCACAAAGGCACATGTGCACCAGGCACATCAGAGGCTAGACCCGCTCTTTTTAAATGTATTGAGGATGTTTGCTACTGACATCAAAGACTAGGAAACTTGTTACTGACTTCTGCACAGCCTCACCGCAATGATCCACATGCCTTACCTGTAGCCCAGCTGTATAACCAAATCACCACACAGAGACTATGATTTACTTAATTAACCTAGAACACAATGCTGGGCAATCGCTACTCCATCCTAAACCTCCAAGCCCTCATAGTTTCCTAACATTTAGATTTCCCATATTATACTTGCTCTTAGTGAAATCTTAGGTCCAGTCCATCTCATCGTTCTAAGACCTCTCCTCCAGCCTTGTTCTCCTAACCTCTCTCCTTTCTCCCTCCTTTGTCTCTTGTCTTCCTGTCCCCTGGCTCCTCCCTCTTTTCCTGCTTCCTTTCCATTGCTCAACATTGTGGCTAGTTGTTTTATTTTGGCATGTTTACACAAAGTTGAGACAGGTGATGCTTAGAATAAAAGTATCACAATGCAATGTCCAGATTAAAACCAGAGAGTAGGGGAGAGAAATCAGCATTTGAATGAGCAAGGGTAAAGTGTATACACTTCAAAAGAACATTATACCAACAAACTCCTGCCTCTCCTACCCACCTCAGTATGTCAAAATAGGAGAGAGAGAGCCAGGTGTAGTGGCACACCTGTGACTCCAGCCACTTGGGAGGCCGAGACAGGAGGATCATGAGTTCAAAACCAGCTTGAGCTGTACAGAGAGCTTGATGCCAGTTCTGGTCTTACATAGCAGGATCCTGCCTCAAAAGAGTGTGAAGACCAGTAAGATGGTTCAATGAGTAAAGGTGCTACCACCAGGCCTGATGCCCTGAGTTCAAGCCTGAGACCCACATGGTAGAGGGAAAGAACCAAGCCACCCCGATTGTCACGCAACTTCCACGTATGCACCATGGCATGTGTGCATGCACACACACAAACATGTACACAAAGAAGTAAACGAAATGCAATTTAAAAGAGGTTGAGAGGACAGAAACACCTTCAAGTCCTCTGTTTGCATTCTAGTCCTTCGCTATCACTCTGTGCCAACTTCCTGTGACATATTTCCTAGCTAACAGGCCCCCATCCTACCCCCCAAAAATGCCGCCGACTTAAAGGAATCTAGTGCCCACTGTAAGGGGACCCCCTGGCAGAGCAGGCGATGCCCCCGGAGGATTTGTCCTGGGAGTCCTCTCACCCGCCCTCTCCCACAGCGGCAATTATGGAGTACATACACCTGGCCCTGAAGCCCATCTGCACCATCCCCCCACTACTCACCCGCAGTGAGGTAAGTGGGCTGCTGAGGGTGGGGGAGCCCCAGCCCTGCACCTTTCTCCTCTCCTCCACACCTCCGCTACTGCCAAGCCTTCTGTGTAGGCCCAAAACTACTGCTCCCTACCAACTACGTTTCTGCTCAGACTATGTTATGGATTGAAATTTGGACCAGGCCTGACTCCTACTTCATAGCTGTCATTCCAGCCATGGGTGGCTTATCTTCTTAGCCAAACCTGGAGCCCCCAAAGGCAGGTTCCACAGCAGGCACTCTTTTGAACCCCAGTTCTGAACACACAGATGTGCGCACACTCAAAACAAATCCCCAGTGGCTCTAGGCTCCACAATCATGCTTATTTAAGAGTAAGCATGCGTTAAGTGTCTCCTGTGTACAGAATATCAGTACCATTCTCATCCTTACGGTACATAGTTTTGGGGAGGTGGTTTTATTTTCTGAGGCAGGTCTCACTATGTAGCTCTGGCTGTCCTGAACTCACTGTGCGGAGCAGGCTGGCCTCAAACTCAGAGACCCACCTGCCTCTGCCTCCTGAGGGCTGGGATGGAGGTGTGCGCCACCACAGCCAGCTGAAGTGTGTGAAGTTTCTTTCATATTTGTTTAGTATGTACCATTCCGAAAGAGGACATCTCGGGGCTCATCAGTTTAGACCACTCACTGCTCTTCAGAGGACCCAAATTTGATTCCAGGCCACCACGTGGTAGGTTAGAACCATCCATAGCTCCAATCCCAAGGGATCTGACACCCTTTTCTGGCATGCGCATGGTGCACATACATGCACACAGGTAGGGCCTATAAAAATAAATAAATCTTAAAAATCGCCTTACTCTAAACAGTAAGGCAGCAGGTGGTGTTCAGGGTCTCCCTCATTTGATTTCCCCTAGTGCTAAATTAGGAAGGGCAGAAAGATTATGCTCTCCATTTTATGATGAGAAACTGGGTGCTAGAGAAACCAGTGGCTTGTCCAAGATCACACCACATTTGGAACTGGCTGCAGAATGCCAAGTTCAGTGCTCCTTAAGCTGAAAGGAAGTGGCAGGGTCGGAGGCGTTCCGGAGAAGCTGCTGCCTACAATTTTTCCGATGAGCATCCAGACTGATGGAGGACAATGACAGTCTTTAGTGTCACTTGACAGTCACTGCTGCTGGGAACCCTGTCCACAGAGGAGGAAATTAGATACGTACTGAAGTTGCCTACCCAGGATCACTCACTCACAAAATGCTGATGGGATTCGAACCCAGAAAAATGTATCGGGAACCAACAAGGCAAAGCAGCTGCCAGGAGGGCTGCGGAACTGTAGTCAGACAAGAGCTTGGTCGCCCTTCCTCTTGCTGAAATGCAGGTTAACTTCTTGGCTCCAGGGGAGATGATCTGGGACAGTTTGGGAGCTATGGGTCAGTCGCCCTCTGCTGGCCAGGCTGAGACACCAACCAGCTCTCTAGCATTTAAGAGCATTTCATTTCTTGAGCACCTACTGTGTGCCAGGCACTGCACTGAGCACCGGAGGTAAGAAGGCTTGATCCTTACCCTAGAAAGCCCACAGTACAAAGAGGAAGATGTTCCAAAAGCCAGGCAACTCAACCTGGTGATAAGAGCTGCCCTGAGATGTGAGGAGGGATTCCCCAGCATTCAGGAGAGGCACCTATGTCCTGAGGTCACAATTAAGCTTGACCTCTGAGAACACTGTACCAGGACCCGCTTGCCTAGCTCACAGCTCTGTCTCCCTGCAAGAGGTGCTCTGGCAGCTTCAGGATAGTTACTAACCTGCATTCCTCCGAGCCCTGAACTTACTATCTGGAGCAGAAAAGAACTGGTCTCTCCGCTTCCCTCCCTGAGGTCCCCAGATCTCAAGGGCCCCTAAAGGTCCCTAAGGGCCTGTCAGTGCCACCTGAAAACCACGTACCCAATGTCCAGCTAGAGAATAACAATCCGGGTAGAAGGGCATCTCCAGACCCCAGCATGACAAAGAATAGGGCCTAGAAAGTGGCTCTCCTGTGTGACCCTTAGAAAGTCACTTAACCTCTGGTCTTCAATTTCCAATTATGCAAAGAGGAAATAGTGTCATCTCGGAGGACAAAAGTATAGAAAGGACCCACACCAAGCACAGAGGGAATTTTATAATCAATAGCTGTCATTTATTACTCTGGAAGCAGGCAGGCCCCAGGCCAACTGGCAGCAGGAGAAATGCAGCTCAGACTTAAAGAGGAATCACTTGTTCGTAATTGAATTCCTCTCTGAGGGACACTTAGTTAACCATCTGGAAGGCTACTCTGGAGGCCCTCCGAGCCCACTACAATTAGTTTGGGGCTGGCGACAGGAAGCCAACATCCTTCCTTGGAGATTTTTTTTTTTTTTTTTCTGTAGAACCACGCCCTAATACAGGCAGGATGCAACCTCTCATTCAAGAATGCATCTAAGGCCTTCAGGGGTCCAGAAAGGTGGCGCTAGCCTTGGAAGAGAAGTAGAGACAGGAATGAAACGGTGAGAATTCAGCAGGGCTGCAGGGAGAGATGCAGAAAGGGCATCCAGGAGGCGGCGCCTCCCATGAAAAAAGATTTCAGAAAGGAAGATTCTCCCCACTACGCCCTCCCCTTCCCCCAAGTCTCCATCCCCACTGGCCAGGAAGGCTTCGCAGGAACAAGACTCAGCGGCCAGACTTTTAAAATCCCAATGTATCGGAGAGGCAGTCTGTCCTCCCCTTAGCCTTTCGGTCAACAAGGCAGAGGACGCTGCCCCAATAGCCTGGCCCTCTGTTGCTCGGCCTCTCCCACAGGTGCTCAGCGTGGCAGTGACGCACACCTTCCAGATTGCCAAGGCCCGCGCCCAGCTTGGCTACGCGCCGGACAAGTTCAGCTTCGCCGACGCAGTGGACCGATACGTGCAGGCCACGACCCCGCAGTCCCGCGGCTTCACCGCGCTGTCGCTCCTGCGGCTGCTGCTCGTGCTACTGCTGCTCGGAATGCTCGGCCTGGCCCTGCACTTCCTAGGGCTGCAGCCACGGCAACCCGCAGCACAGCGCCTCTGATCCCGCCCCCGCCCCTCCCAGGCCACGCCCACCTATGGCACTGAGCTTGTACCTGGCTTTGACCTGTCTAGGTGGAGGAGTTCTGGTTGGTGGAGTCTGTGGAACTGAACCTATCTTGTGCTGCTGCTGTTGCTGCTGCTGCTGCTGCTGCTGGAGACATTGGGGCCTCCTCCCTTCCAGGCTTCTTTGAGTTTGTTCTGATCTTAACCCAGATCTGTGTGTTGATTTGCTGGGGGAAGGATAGCCAAGCCCAGCTCGGTAGCTTTCGGTTCTCAGTTAATGAGGGGAGGGGACTCGACACAGTCAAAGGTTTCACGACCAGACGGGGCAAGGGGGGGGGGGGAGTTTGTAAAATAAAATTGAACGTCTCATAAAAAGTTCCAATGTAACAGAATAAGAGTCTGTATGTGGCGTCAGGGGATACCGTTTCTGAAGCCGTCTACCGTATTTTTCCAGACAGCATCTCTCACTGGTTGGGAGCTTGCCGTGGCTAGGCTGTCTCTGGCTTCCCATCTCTGGGATTGCAAGCAAACGCCACCACGCTCAGCATTTTCTGTGGGGGCTGGAAATGGAATCCTTGTGGGGCAAGCGCTTTACCTTCTCAGCCATCTCCCCAGCCTCCAAATTTTATGACTTTACTATCATTTGTATGTCTTGATGAGCGGTGGTCCTCACTATCATCTTTAAGCGTTTGAGGCCACAGTCCTGCTCTACAGAAGCTGCACCTTCCTGCCCACCGTGTTTCGGACTGTGGATCCCAAAATAACAGTGTGTAAAAAGATCCGTGTCTACCATATGGTGCGCACCCAGCATAAGCTGAGCAAACACTGTGGACCCTAGAAAAGAGCAAAGCAGCTACCAGCCTGCAGTGGGGGGAAGGGAAGGAACCAGTGAGCCTTCATAAGTGGTGTCCCTCAGGGCATGTGTCCTGTTTGGGAGTTTTAAAGAAGACTGTTTAGGAGTTTTAAAATATGCTAGGCAAAATGTTATGTGGGTATCCTTTTTTTTTTTTTTTTTTCCTGTCTGTCTAGTGCCCAACACCAGCAGGCCTTGTTTCATTATTGGAGCCCCTCTTACAGTAGGGTTTCTTATTGTCCATTTATAGATGGGGAATCTGAGGCCACCACTAACTTGAAATATCGGGGGTTGGGGTGGGGGAGAGCTACTGCTCTGTAGCTCCGGTCCTTTGGAAGAGCTTCCCAAGGCCCAGAGATGTGATGCATTGTTATGTTCTTTGCAGCCTAACTGTTCCAGGGTTTGGGGTGGAACTCTGGGCTCCACCTCCCTCTCCCAGACCTACACATCTCAATCTTTCTGAGCCTGACCAGCATACTTCCTTTTCCTGTTGCTAAGATAAGGCACCCTGACAAACTGGGCGGTGGCGGTGGTGGCACACACGCCTTTAACCCCAGCACTTGGGAAGCGGAGGCCAGCCTGGTCTACAGACTGAATTCCAGGCCAGCCAAGGCTACACAGAAAAACCCTCTCTTGAAGAAAGAAATAAACAAACCCTGACCACAGCAATTTAAGGAAGTGTTTGTTTATCTGGGCTCACGGTTCATGCGATCATCATGTGAGAAAGTCAAGGTGTCAGGAACTTGAAGCAGCTGCTCGCACTGTGTCTGTAGTCAGAAAGGGGAGGCCATTGTGCTCACCCAAGTCCAGGGAGGCTAGTGCCCACTACTGGAGAGGATCTTCACACCTCAACCTCAGAGAGACGCATGACCTACCACAGGCACGCCCAGAGGCTGAGCTAACCCAACCCCTGACAGGTGTGCTGGACGGCTGGTCTCCTAAGTGATTTTAGCTCCTATCAAATTGACAGTCAGCTCTAACCATCACAACTGGCAGCTGGATTCCTTCTCTCTGATACATCTGCAGCATCTAACTGTACCTCCTTTCTCTAAACTCCCTCTTTCTACCTTCCGTTCCTGAGAAATAGGTCTTTAGCACAGGAGAAACTGATTCACATGTTCATATTATTGTCTAGCCAAGAATCAATTGGCTTGTTCTCTGGGTTTCTCCATCTCTTCCCCCAAGGCTCGCAAAGCAACAAGAAGAAGGCCTGAGCTTGGAGGCATCAGTCATTTCTGTCTCAAGAATTCTTCCTTTCTCTCTTCGCCATTTGGGAAAAGCATGTGGCACCCCCCACCCAACACACAAATGGAATCCCTCGAGGATTTAGACAATGCCCTAATTCACCAGCCCCTGTGAGGTTCTGCCAGGAAGTGCTGGCTTGTGGAAAGGCACCAAGGGAGGGAGGATGGATGCTGAAGACCACGGAAGCCCTGGTAACACAGCTTATCAGGATGGTGCAGCCCATGAGACAAGTTTGTAAGCTTTCTATTGAACGACATTCCCACCTGTGGACCGGCTTCCCAAGCTGCCACCAAGCCTGGTTCCTGCCTCCAGCTCCTGGGACCCACGTGTGGAAGGCAAGAACAGATTCCTGCCAGTTGTCCTCTGCCCTCCACTCGTTGGAGGCGGGGTGTATCTAAGGGGAAGGGTGTGTCTCGGTGGTGGAGGGCTTTCCTAGGATGTGTAAGGCCCTGGGTTTAACCTTAGCACTGCCAAGTGAAAGCTGGACCTGTAGTGAGTTTGTCCACCCTTCTTTTCAGCCCGTGTCAACGTTGGCTTTTGTTTTGTTTTGTTTTGTTTTGTTTTGTTTTGTTTTGTTTGTTTGTTTGTTTGTTTTTAAATCAAGGCAGGGTTTCCCTGTGTAGCTCTGGCTGTTCTGGTCTCAAGTGTAACTAATGAAATGATGCTGCCTCTGAATCCAGTGAGTTCAGCATACCTATTTTTTTCACTCCTGAAACCTCTCCCAGAGCTGACTTTCTTTCTGGCACAGAATAAGGCTCTCATAAATAGTTGTTGGATAAAAAAAAAAAAAGCATTGAGGGGCCACTAAACCAGGCCTATAGATCCTGTAGGAGAATGAAGAAGGCTGTGACCTCAAGATTGCCACTCCACAGCCCTCCTCAGTCGTCAGTCATCTTTTCCACCAACAGAGTTTGATGGGTGGGTGTCAGCCAGAACCAGGAAGGGACTTTCTGCAATTCATCTTTGCTTCAGAGACCCTGGAAGTGTGAACTAAGACCCAGACCGCCTGTCGGGAATTTGCAAGTTGTTGTCCGGGGACCCATTGCCCTGGAAACGGGGAGGGTTTTCGTTTTGTTTCATGTTTTGTTTTTTAGGGAAGAAAATTGGTAGCCATGAAGTGTTTGTGCACCAGCGTAGAGACAGACCAATTTCGTTGTAGTTTCCTTCTTTTCTTCCTCAGCTTATGTTTTTAAAAATGAGCTTCAGAGGGAACGAAGAAATAAGGGCAAAGACAAGAACGTAGGAAAAAAAAAAAAAAAAAAAGCAATCCAGGGATCTGGCAGCGGTGGGATTCGAACCCACGCCATCGAAATGACTGGAGCCTAAATCCAGCGCCTTAGACCACTCGGCCACGCTACCTCCCTCTGGCTAGGCTGGCCATTCAGAGTATATTAGTGTGATGACGCAGTGCGCTGCGCTTTGCAAGCCCCGCCCCTGGGCGTCTCCGCCTGCCCCAGAAGCCTTCCTCCGCGTGGCGACGGCCGCCGTCAGTTTCCCCGCGCCCCGGTCTCCGGCACGGCCTGCAGGCCGGAGCGCAGCGCTCGAAGGGAAAGGACGCTGCCCGAGCGCCAACCGTGAACGCTTGCCCGCCGCGTGGGAGAACTTCGAGCTTCGCCTCTCCCGCGGACGCGATGCTGCCCGCGGCCACCGGGGGGCAGTGCTGCGCTGCCGCGTTTTCCTGCAACCTTTAGGGAACTTAGCAAACCAAGCAGCCATAAAGAAAAGGCGAGTGGATGTGCTACCTAAAGCCTCCCACACCACCAGCCCAAGGAGGGGTGTGGACAAACCCCAGACCTTGCCTATTATCTTGTGTGGCAAAAGGAAAAAAAAAATTTTTTTTTTTTGCAGCTATGATTGAATTACAGAGCTTCAGGAGCGGAGAGTAGGTTCCTGTGTGGTCGCACAAATCTGTAATTCCCCACACACTTACCCACACCTCCCCGACCCACCACTTTCACCTCCACCCAGCCCGGGCGGAGGCAGGAGGGTCAGGTGCTCCAGGTCAGCCTTCGCCGCATCCCTAATTAGAAGCTGTCTCAAAAGAAAGTAAGATTCGGATGGGGAGACCAGCCTCCATTATCCAAGTGTTCCTGGAACGAGGTGAGGACCCACACGAGATCCGGGCGGAGAATAGGAGAGACGAAGATGCAAATCGAGGAACACGGGGGAAGGGTGCACACCCGTGCTCACGCAGAGATCAAAGGCCTGCTTGCAGGGCTTGCTGTTTCCTTCCGCCATGCGGGGTCCCCGGATCACCTCAGGTCGTAAGGCTTAGCAGCAAGTAGCTTCACCCACGCCAGCTCCTGAGAACCGAACCTCCCAAGAGAAAAAGGAGGTGTCTGACTCCTTCTAGAAATTCTGTCCTCCAGGATGACTGAGCTGCTCAATTTGTAGTGATTTGTTAGGCTAATACAGTGTAGTAACTAACCCCATGGGCCTGGGAACCCTGGGCTGGCTAGCTTTGTGACCTAGGGGAATTTGCTCTAAGGGAGTAGCAACGGTAGTAGCCACGTGACAGCATTTGCTGTGAGGGTTTGCTTTCCTTCTTCCTACCCACAATTTCATTGACCTGTAACTGTCAGACCTCGGTCTGGTCTTTCCAGAGAATGAAGTGGTGTGTGTGTGTGTGTGTGTGTGTGTGTGTGTGTGTGTGTGTGTGTGTCTTCCTCTATCTGTGTGTGTGTGTGTGTGTGTGTGTCTTCCTGTATCATTCTCCTGTTGAGACAGGGTCTCCCTGCTGAACCTGGACAAGATTATCTCTATGTGGCCCTACTTGCTCTGTAGAGCAGGCTGGCCTCAAACTCAGAGATCTGCTTCCTAAGTGCTGGGATTAAAGGTATGTACCAGCACTACCAGCTTAATTGTTTTAATTATATATGTTTGTGTTGGTGCAGAATCCAGAAGTAGACACTGGACACAGATACAAGGTTGCTGAGCTCTGTCCTCTGCAGGAACAGTGTGGGCCTTTAACCACTGAGTCATTTTTTATTAGATTTTTTTAAAAAAGATTTATTTATTTATGTACATGAGTGCTCTGTTCTCATGCACACCAGAAGAGGGCATTATAGGGGATCTCATTATAGGTGGTTGTGAGCCGCCATGTGGTTGCTGGGAATCGAACTCAAGACCTCTAGGAAGAGGGATGCTATGAATACCTTCCCTACCCATTGTCCAAGAAGGGACCTGACAGGCCTCGTGCAGGAGGAAAATGGACCCCGGTAGAATGTCAACTCCAGGAAAACAAATGATAGTTTCTTAATTACCCATATGAAGTCATAAACTCATTGCCATACCTTCAGGACTGAGGACAGTGTTGGCCAAAAGAATAGACTGAGAAAAAAAAAATGGTTTTGTTCTTTTAAGTGGGCATATGTTTGTGTACGTGTGTGTCTGTGCTGGAGATCAACCCTACAGGTTAAACACAGGATTGACCACTAAGCTACAACATCCCTGCCCTGTTTTTTTATTCTTGGTAAAGGTCACTTCATGTGAACTCCATTGCCATTTGAGTACAAAGACAGAGGGTCTGGGCACTGCTGCCCAGAGCTGCCCATCCTTGGAGCTAACAGAACTATTGTCTGGTTGTGGCCAGGCCCTGGCCTGTCCTGGAAGATCACCCTCTTCTGCAGCCACAGGAAGGACACAGAGTTCTCTTTATGTAGGCTATTTCCCCAAAATAACTCAGAGCATATTTACACACACACACACACACACACACACGCACACTGCCATAGTTTAGTTCCAGACAGAGTTTAGTCCATGCTCACTAGGCCCAATCATACAAAAGCAGGCCTTGGGGAGGGACATACTGCTTCTGAAGGGGTTCAGGGCCTGCTTGACTCTAACTCCAACCCCAGAGAAGTGAAAACTTCTGTCTGTTTCTACCTAGCCTCTCTCCAGCAGCCTGTCTCCAGGCTGCCCCCCCCCCCCACGCCCGCTGGCCACGCTCCTCTGCTGATTTATGCCTGTGGGACACAGCCAGGGCAGATCAAATGCAAAGCCAGCCACAGCAGGGAAGGGCGGGGAGGCCATAGATGCCACAGCAACCAGGCTGTTTAGTTTTTGTGGGTATTTCTGTTTCTAAGTGACTTTTAACTGTTGTAAAGGTCATCAGTATGAAGTCATTGTTCGTGTCCCTGCCTCGTGAATCCCTGGGTGCTATCTAGGTTTGAATTACACTGCAAGCATGACCATAATTTTTTTTTTTTAAATGCTCAATCCTATGTGTAAAGTTAAAAGAGAAGGGCTTCATTTACCAGTGAGGCCCACCACTTAAAACAGAAGGAAAAAGACTAGAAAACTGTCCCTGATTCTTCCAGACCTTTTCCTATGCAAATATATAGGCAAACAGGCCTTGCTCTCAGAATACCCTATGACAGGAGAGGAGTAATTTCATGGTCTCTGCAAGTCTTTTTATAAAAACTGTCTCAGGGCCACAGAGCTGATTCAGGTGCTAGGAACACCTGTGGCTCTTGCAGAGGGTCCTGGCTCAATTCTCAGCACCCATGTGGTGGTTCATAATTACGGAAACACTCCAGCCCCAGGAGACCCAACACTCTCTGACCTCCACAGGCAACAGGTGTGCAGGTAAACACCCATGAAGTAAATTATCTTAAACAAACAAACAAATCAACCCGCTATAGCCACACAGCTCAGGCTGGTCTTGAACTAGCAACCCTTCTGCAGCATCAGCCTTTTAATTTTTTATTATTTGTTTGTTTGAGACAATTTTTCTGGGAAGCCCTGGCTGTCCTGGACTCAGTTTGTAGACCAGGCTGGCCTCAAACTCACAGAGATCCACCTGCCTCTGTGTCCCTGAGTGCTGGGATTACAGGAGTGTGCCACCACACCCGGCTTAGCCTTTTAATTTTTAACTTAGTTGTTTTTTTTTTATGTGTTTGGTTATTTTCTACACGGTGAGGCAAACACTGGCAAACTTTTCTTTTTAAGTATCTATTTTACTTTACGCGCGTGCTTTTGTTTGCATGTACGTCTGTGTATCAAAGCACACGGCTGGTGTCGGCAGAGGCCAGAACAGGATGTCAGATCCCCTGGGACTGGAGTTACAGTTGTCAGCCGTTATGTGGGTGCTGGGAAACTGGACCTGGATCCTGTGGAGGGGCAGCCAGTGTTCTTAATGGCTGAGCATCTCTCCGGGCCCCTGCCTCAGCTTCTTGAGTTCTGGAATTACAGGCATGCGCCGCCACACCCAGCTCCATACGTCCTTGGGTTTTGTTGTTGTTTTGATGGTAGGCATCTATTCTAATTTCTTTTTTAAATTAAGGTAATTCACTTTGTGTGTGTGCATGTATGTGCGTAGGTGTGCACGCATCACAGTGCCTGTGTCAAGGCCAGAGGCTGTCCTGCAGGAATTAGTTATCTCCTACCAGGCGAGTCCCAGGATTGTTTGTCAGGCTCGGCAAACGCCTTTACCTCCTGAGCCATCCTGTCCACCCCTTCCCCCTAATTTCCTTTGGGTGGTTCATACTCTCTTTACCCTTAGGCGTACAACTGAGAGTGGGATTGCTGGGTTCTGTAGTCATATGTAAGTATCCAAGGGTACCTGAAGACATACTCAGTATCATTATCCATTTGGAAAGTGGGAATCAAAACTGGAAATCTAGCTGGGAATAGCGGTGCAGCTCCCTGTGCTGTGGGGCTGATCTTCCAGAAGCACAGGCCAGACTGGGGCAGAAGTCCTAAGAGCTGTCTTGGGCAGCTCCAGACACAAGCATTCGCCTTTCTGAGTTCATGTGGCGACAGGGGATCTTAATCAAGAAGGTCAAGCTTGCCCGGTGTTGTGGAATATGCCTTTAGTGCCAGCACTCAAGAGGCAGAGGCCAGTCTGGTCTACACAGTGAGTTCTGCCACAGTCAGAGTATGTACAAAGACCCTATCTCAATAGAAAGAAAGAAAAGAAAAGAGTCAAACTTTTAGCAGGAAATGTTCATTCTGACAACAGTCCTCAGGCCTGAAGGGCTGACTTCCTGAGGGAGAATGGTGTTGACTGCTCTCAAACCAAAGAGCCAAGGCTCACAGGACACAAGCGGTCTGAATATACTCAAGTCTGGCCAAACCGTGCTTCTGCCACTTACTGTGTAAGCTTGGAAAAGTCACTTTCCTGGTCTCGGTGTTCTGTGTGCAAAGTGGAGAAGAGTAAGAAGGTCGTGATGAGAATTATAAGGAGTATTATGGCCTGTGTGTCTGTCAGTCCCTCTCTGTTACCAGGAACACACTCCCACCGACTGTCCTGGCGAGGCAGGCTTCTGTTGCTTGGTAAAACACCATGACCAAAAGCAACCTGCGTTTATTTCAGCTCACAGCTTATAGTCCACCATGAAGGAAAGTCAGGGCAGGAACCCGGAGGCAGGAACTGAAGCAGAGAACACAGGGGAGCGAACGCTGCTTCCTGGCTTGCTCTGCCTGCTTTCTTACAGCCACCGTGGGACACCTGCCCAGGGGTGAGACAGCCTACAGTGAGCTGAATGCTCCACCGCCCGGAGGCATTTTCTCACTTGAGGTTTCCTCTTTCCAGATGGCCCAGTGTGTCAAATTGACAAATCTAACTGGGGTGGGGGGGGGGGGAGGTTATTGCCAAAGATAAAAAGGGTTATCAGGATGGAGGCTCAGCACACAGACGCTCACTGGGAGTTAGAGGCCAGCTCGTCTCAACAAAACATGGAGGAGAGTGAAGAGACAGCTTAGAGCAGTGGTTCTCAAGCTTCCTAATGCTGTGACCCCTTAACAGCCCCTCATGTTGTGGTGACCCCCAAACAAAAAACTATTATTATTATTTTGGTTTTTTGAGACAGGGGTTCTCTGTGTAGCCTTGGCTGTCCGGGACTCGCTTTATAGACCAGGCTGGCCTCGAACTCACAGAGATCCGCCTGCCTCTGCTTCCCGGAGTGCTGGAATTGCAGGTGTGTGCCAACTAGCCTCACTTATAAAATCATTTTTCTTGCTGCTTCATAACTGTAATTTTGCTACCGTTATGGATCATAGTGCAAATATCTGATGTTCAGACAGTCTTAGGCAAACCCTGTGAAAGGGTTGTTTGAACCCCCCATAGGGGTCAGGACCCACAGGTTGAGAACTACTGGCTTAGAGTTAAGCGCAATGGCTGTGCTTCATTGTTGTATTTTTTCAACAGAATTTTTGTTGATTCGTCCCCTTCTTCTCTTTCATTTCCTGTCCCTTTCTTGTGAAGTGTCTGAAGTTTCTTCAAAGCAGAAGTCAGAAAACCCAAAGATTTTCTGATAAAGGCATTTTAGGTTATGTTCGGACAGGATATTCACGCAGCAGAGTAACCGGCTTCCTACCCAGAAGTTCAGGAGGCGATCTACAGGCTGGGGAGCCAGGAGACTAGGCGGCAGCTGCAGGGAGGTGATGGCCACCCGGGGGCGGCCACGTGAGCCCTGGCGTGCGCCCTGTGCGTCAGTCCCGCCCCAGCCCCAGCCTCCAGCCCAGCCTCGGCTCTGGACCCAGCCTCCGGCTCCAGCCCCAGCTGCAGCCACAACTCCCGCCGGATCCCCCCTCCAGCGCGCGCTCGGCTCCTGAGCTCGGACGTCTCCACGCGCCCCACGGCGGCTGTGGGCCTGGCTCTCCGTCGCCTGCGCTCGTGTCCCGGGATCCTCCACCCGCCCTGCACCCTGGAGCGCCCGGCCGCGAGCCTCTGCCAGCTCCTCGGGATCCTTGCGGCCGTGGGCAGCGGCTGCCGCGCCTGTGCCCCTGCGGGAGGTAGGTGACGCTGTGGTGCGGGGCTGGATGGGGGAGCCGGGCCCGCGCGCCCCGCTGCAGCGGCGCCCCGAAAGGCGATTGGGGCGCTTCTCTGGTTGCCAAGCTCCCCTGGGGCTCAGTCCCTGCGCCTGTAAAGTAAGGGGTGAAAGACGATGGCCAGCGATGGGCGCCGTTCGAGCTGCACCAGGCGGCGCATGCCCGCCTCCACCCGGGCCTCCTCTAAAGTCCAGGAGGCGAACCTATCTGTCCCCCTGCAGCGCCCAAGCAGCATTCCCCCAACGGGGTTCACCACTCCGGAGGCCTGTGCGGGCCTCAGTTCCTGGAACTGTGCAGCATACGCCCTTGCTGCATTGTTGGTTGAGGGAGTTGGGTGTTGGCAGGCGTTGGAGACATGTGCGCCAAGGGGCTAGGTATTAATATGCAGCTGGTGGCGCGGAGGCGGGGATCTCCCGGGTAAGCCCTGCCAAAGCTAGCTTGTGTCGGCTAGGGGATTGCGCCCTGAGTGCGACTGATCGCGTGTGTTGCGGAGGAGTGAGATCTGATTTGGGGATGCTCCCTGGGGCCGTATTTCTGCTTCCACCATCATGGGGCACTCTCTGTCTTGGGACCACTGAACTAAGAAAGCAGATTTTACCGAGGAGGAAACCGAGGTCTGGAGAAGTTCCCAGACCCCCAGAGGCTAGGTAGGGAACGTAAGAGTATGTAAACAAGGGTTGCGAGTGCAGGAGTTTAAAATGAAGTTTTGGGAAGACTCAGGAGAGGTGGTAGTTGAGCAGTGTGGAGAAGGAAGCCGGGAGGAGAGGGCTCAGGCCGTGTTCAAACCTCGACCTTAGACACTGCTCTTCACTTTCTCTGCGATGCCGAGAGTTCCTGGGAGAGGAAGGCAGGCAGAAGCTGGAAATGGGGGGCTTCCATTACCGCCTGGGGGGAATCTTTTTCTCTTCCAAAGAATGGGGTTCTGCTCCGTTCTTTGGAGGGTTCCTGAGCGCGTTGGCCGTGCCTTTCCTGAATGGCTCCTGCCACGCGGTTCCACACACAAGATATTTTCAAACCTTTTATCCTGCCCTGGTCAGGGTCGCCCCAAAAGGCTTGTCTTCCGCGGGGCAGGGGGTGGGGGTGGGGTGGGGCTGCTCTTAATTTCCACCTGAGAACCGCATGGGGGAACCTGGGGGTAGCAGAACCAAGTTGTTTCTGGTGCCTTCTCTGTTGTGAGTCCTGTCATGAAGGAGAAGAACTTCAGGATCATTGCAAAGAAGCCAAGCAGTAAGCCGCTGGGCATACTGATGAAAAAAGGAAGGCTTTGGGTGAAGGGGGAGGAGGTGTCCTGTTGAGGCAGCTACTGAGGAGTCAGTTACCCAGAATCCCAGGGTGCTACAGGGTCTATACCTGGGATGGCCCTGGATTTGCGCCTTAAAGCTTGTTGGTGGAGGGTCTGGGGGGGGGGGGGGGAAGCATGGGGGGCTCAGGGGTTGAGAGCATTTGCCCCTGAAGCGAAAGGCAAAAGAGATGCTAGATCTTGAGAACTAGGTGGCCCTGGCCCCGTACCTGGTGGCTCACCCATTCCTGTGGCACTGGCTGCAGGGATCCAGTGTCCTTCCCTGGCTTCCACAGTCATCTTTGTGCACACGCACTGCACGAATTAAATAAAGACTATTTGACTAAACTCTTGCAGCCCAGGCCTATGGGTGCAGACTACAAGGGTTTGGAAGGAGAAAAGGGTGAGTTACTAGGCACTAACTCAGTACAGCAGTAAAGCCTTTCACAGGCTGAAGAGTCAGAGGCGAGTGTAGGCTGTGGCACACTCACTCTGGAAAACATTGCCTGGCTCCTGCAGGGCTGGCTGGCTTGCCCCTGATGGCTGGACCACACTGGAGTTTTCATTTCTGAGGTCTGGAGTGAGGCTCCCAATCTGCATTTCTCAGAAATTCCCAGGAGAGGCTGCTCGCTGGCTGCTGCTGGGTGTCCGGGTTGAGGAAATGTGGACTATGTTAACAGTCCCAGCTTTCTGGCTCTGTGATTATAGGTAAATCACTAAGCCTCTCGGTTCCTCAGCTTTCTCACCTGTAGAATGACGTAAATAGAACCTGCCTCCTGGGAATCAGGGCCAGCTCTGAAGGAGGGGTTATATCAACAGACACGATGGAGGGGTGGATCCCTTGGCCAGGAGACAAATTGACAATTGAATAATAAGAATAGATTGAATAAGAATAGCCTGAGCAGGTGACTGAAGGAAGACACGGGTGTGCTGGAATCCTGTGTCAGGTGAGGGAGGCCCTTGTTCTCCCTGAAGCTCAGAGAAGGTACACACCAGGTGCTCTGTGGTGACATAGAAATGACACCGGCCTGCTCCACGTATGGAAAGTGAGCGGCTGAAGGGGCCTGGACGTGGTGCAAAGTTATTTAGGCCACACTTCATTGGCCTAAATGCCGTCACATGCTCTCGGCGAGGTGAAGGAGATGCTGGGAGATACCGGTCTCTGGCTGGGCCCAGCACCGAGCTAGTTCGTGAGGTCAGGAGCACTGGGCTCATTTCTCAGTTTCTTTGGAGCAAAAACAAAACAGGACTGGGGATGTGGTCCAGTGGAGCACTTGCCAAACAGGCACGGAGCCCGGAGTTTCGCCCTTTGCACCTCCTAAAACCAAGTGTGGTGGTGCGTGTGCCTAATCCCCAAACTCAGGAGGTAAGAGGCAAGAAAGTCAGACGTTCAAGGTCACTGTCCCCAGCCTGTCTATGGAAGACTGCGAGAGAAAACAAAAACCAGAGACAGAGCCAGGTGTGGTGGCACAGGCCTGTGAGTGATCCCAGCACTCAGGGGAGGCAGAGGCAGGCAGACCTTTGTAAGTTCAAGGCCAGCCTGGTCTACAAAGCAAGTCCAGGAAAAAAAAAACAAAAAAACAAAAACAAACAAACAAAAAAAAAACCCACAGACAAACCCATAATTGAAAGCTCAGTGGTAGCACATGCCTCTAATCCCAGTCCAGAGGAGGCAAAGGCAGATGGATCTATGAATTCTAGGTCAGCCTGGTGTTCAGAGTGAGTTCCAGGACAGCCAAGACTACACAGAGAAACCCTGTCTCAGAAAAAAAAAAAAAAAAGAAAGAAAAGAAAGCTGAAGATAGGCCGAGCTCTGTATCCCTTCCTTGGCTATGGCTTGGAAGCATGTTCTGCTGTTAGGAGTAGACCTTGTCCTAAACCACAGACTTACTGGAGCAGGCTCTGATGTCCTGTGCCTGGACCTTCTACTCCTGTGGCATCTTTACTGTGCAGTGCCCGGTTGGTATGATTCAGACACTTTCCTGCTTTGTTCTATGTATTTCTGAGTCGGGGAGGGGACAGCACCAGGAATCGGGAAGTGAAGCATCAAGTGAGGGTCTCATTACTCTCCCGGGCCTTAGCATGCACTGAGGGCTCACAGACAAACTGCTGACTGTTGAGAGAAACAGTGCTTTATGTCAAAGTAAAAGGACCAAGATGTCCGCACTGGCTTCCTCCATCAGACTGTATGCCTCCTACTTTCCAGACCCAGAGTCAGGCACCGTTCGCATGAGTTTGCCTCATCCCTTGCCCTCACAGCCACAGGTGCCGCTGCTTGGAGTGCCTGACCCACAGGGCCAAACCTATCTGTCCCCTTCAGCATCAAGCTCAGCTCTTACCTTTCCCGGGTCATCTCCTTGCCTATAAATTAGCAGACAACAGTTACCCGGGGAGACCAGTCCCTCTGCCCCACCATGCCTGGCAGAGAATTGTTGCTGAAAAATACCAGCTCCTATTCCACCCTGACCACCCTACTCTCCTCCACCCCCACCCCTATCCCAGCACTTCTTCCTAGGCCCCTTATGACAGTTCCTGTTATACCCAGAGGCCCAACAGTAATAACCCCACTAAAGATGTTCTTGTCCCAACCCTGGGAATCTGTGAGTGTGGGGCCTTATACAGCAAAGGGGACTTCTTAGAGGTGAGTAATGGGGACATTGTCCTGGATTATCTTGCTACACCTCAGGGTCCGTATAAAGAAGAGGTGGCAGTTGGGCATGGTGGCACACACCTTTAGTCCCAGCACTCTGGAGGCAGAGACAAGCAGGTCCCTGAGTTCGAGACCAGCCAGGGCTACAGAGAAAAACCCTATCTTGAAAAACAAACAAACAAATAGGAGGTGGAAGGGTAGAGAAGGGACAAGACTGAGAAATCAGGAACTCTAGACAGAAATACTTAGGGTTAGGGGTTATCTCATGTGAGAGGGCTTACCTGGAACTTACCAGGCTCTGGATTCCATCCTCAGCCCTGGGAAAGAAGGGAGGGGAGGGAAGAAGGATGGGGAGATAAGAAAGCAAGCAGGCACAGATACTTGAAGACTCTGGCTTCTGGCTCTGAAGGAGGAGCCCGCAGAACTTCTGCCTCCAGAATTGTGAGACAAGAGCTTGGGTCATTATATCAGCTGCAACCAGGAGCTCACGTGACTGGAACAGGCTCCAGCCTTCGGCCATTCCGCTCCCTTCTGGCTCATGGCAACAACCTGGAGTCAGTTTTAGTTCTCCTGATCCAAGTGCATCTGACAGATAGTAGGTAGAGATCACTGGTGCTGCTAAGTGTTTGACATCCCACAGGACGTGTCCCCTGTAGGTAAGAATTGTACCAGCTTGGCTGGGCAGTGATGGCACACACCTTTACTCTCAGCACTTGGGAGGCAGAGGCAGGTGGATCTCTGTGAGTTCAAGGCCAGCCTGGGCTACAGAGTGAGTTCCAGGACAGCCAGGGCTACATGAAGAAACCCTGTCTCAAAAACAAAACAAAAACTGTCAGCTCATTGTCCACAGCACAGAGACAGAGAAACCATGCTCAGTGGGGAAGAGAGCTTGCTGTGTAAGCATGAGGGTCCAGGTTCAAATCCCAGTCCCTACACAAAAAAGCCAGGCATGACAAGAGAATTCTTAGGGCTTGCTGGCTGCCAGCCTGGCTTCACCCTCAATGAGTGACCTCATCTCAAAGGAATAAGGTCTTC